TTGGTCTCGTTGGAACGAGCGTTGCGAGCTCTTTCCAAAAAGATCCTAACTGAGTCAAGGCGTCACACATTGAAAACGTTATGAGGGTTTCACTGTTTCGCCGAAGGCCTTTCCCCGAAGGGACTTCAGCTAAGGCACTTCGCCGAACACCTTGCCTCGAAGGCCCCCTTCCGCAACTTTTTCCCCCCAACCATCACACCAATTCCTAATCTTGCCAAAACTTTCAGAAAACCCCAAGCATAATTTTGCAAGAGCTTAAATCCAAAATTTTAACTCTCATAAGGGTAAAAAGACATATGAGCACAGTTTTGTGCTCACAACTTGCTATTTCATGAGAGTAATCCACACTCAAGGAAAAAGCAAGTTCGCTCTGATACCATTGTGACATTAGGGTTTACAGAGAAATTCACTCGAAGATGGAAACGTAAACTTTTAAGATGAGATCTACCAACAAGTACAAGGAGATAATATCATATCCCCACCATCCACTCCTAGTGGATCGATGCCATGGCGAATAACCCTAATATCGCTAACGTGATGCTCCCAACAAACACATTAACTAACACATTCAATCATTACCTAACAAGCCCACGGATTGCTGACGTGTCACTATCAACTAACACATCTACTTTCTATCTACCAAGCGTGCGGATAGCTTATGTGGCAGCTACAACTAGTGCACGCTGAAATATCCATATCAACATTTATAGTAACCTCTAGTTTAGTTCTAACCAACTAATCATGATTATAATCTTTTTGCAAGATTTGCAATATCTTTTCAAATGTTGTTGTAAATTTTCTTTCTGGAGATAACGACCGTTTGATATTGAATATTCAAAAAAAGAGCTACAAAATAGATTGAATGATTAAATTCAGAAGTTGTCTTTCAAATAATTCTAATCATGTGAGATTTTAAATTGCTATAGTTCTCGGTAACGTCTGTATCTTTTATAATTGTGTATACTTTAATGAGTTCTCCAAAATTCTGATCTAATGTGGTTGAACTCTCCTCAAAACAAGCTATACTATCAGCTATAGGCATAATAAATTTACAAATTTCTTTGATAATTGCAAAATGATAATCATGCTCCATCATTTTAAAAAAAAATTTGTTGATGGAAGTCTCATTAACTAGTTTTGATCTTTGGACACAATGTTGAAATATTTTGTGATAAGATGCAACTCCAAGATATAAAAGTACAGTTGAATACCACCATGTTTTGCAGAAATTAAACAGAAACTTGCTAATATTGTTCTCTCCACCTTAAGTCTTAAGACATATAGTCCAATAGTGAGAACTTGTAAAAATGTTAAGAAAATAGGAGACGCGTTTCATGATTGCATGATATGACACATCTTTTGTGATAAGATTCAGTTGATGAAAAATTGTCTTTTGTGATAATATTCAGCTTGTTTACTACTACTGAATCCACTATTTACTTTACTTTTAACAATTCCTAACCTAAAAGTTTGAAATTACTAGTATTTTATTTCTCAAACTTACTCTTTTTAAAAAAAAAATGAAAAACTATGTTACCACATTAAGCTATCAAACACAAAGACAACAATTGATATCAATGGAAGAAGTCTTTGTTGGTTGACAATATGAGTTATTGTTGCAATGCATTCGCCGTTGAACGTCCTATGAAATGCACAATGTTTAATATCCATTGTATTACTTTTGTGATGGTCATCACAGCATAAATCAAATTGTTGGACATATCTTCCCATCCATCCATAGTTATTCTCACATCACTAGCATTTTTCAACTCTTCTTCTAATTTCAATAAACACTCATTATAATGCTTTTGTAATAATCTATCTAAAACTAATCTTCTAGAAGGAAGGATGTAGTTGGGGTTGATTCTATGAATAAACATCTCCAGCTCTTTGTTGCAATATACATTGAAAGCATTGTTAGAAGTCACTAGAAAGTCTACAATCTTCAAATGATGGCTCTCTTGTATGTCTACACTTATTGAAGTACTAAAATATTTAAGTAGTTGTTGTTGATAGAGTCTTGAAGAAATCATTTGCTCTAACTCATAACCTAATTGAGATCTAATTGAAGTATGTGCCGAAATACGTCTTCTCTTTGAAAATTGTTCTACAATGCATATATTTTCAACTCTACCTACAAAATCCAGACTACAATGATGTAGTATGTGGAACTCTAGTTTATCAGGTAAACCATCAAACACCTCTTCACAGTGTACACACTTTGCAAGATACCGATTTCCACTACTCTTCTCAAAAGAACGATAGAATCAATACCATCTCGGATTTATAACCTCATCAGATTTTGTACATTCACGTGATATTCCTATACTCTATACTGAGGTTGGTTATGAATTCAGAACTACATTCTTACTTTCAGGGACCCAAATATTAGGTTGATTAAGGGGAAATGAATCCATCGACATCTTAGAACGTGCACACATTAGATCATCAAAGCATTAAACACTAAATATTAGAATCAATCACACACTAAAACACACAACTTCAACATGCACACATTAGAGAATAATAGAGTAAGTCACTCACTAAAGCACACATCCTGAACATGCACAGATTACATAATCAAATATTAAACACATAATACTAGTCACTCACTCACTAAAGCAAACAATCTGAACATGCACACATTGGATAATCAAAAATAATGAATCACTCGCTAAAACAAAAAGCATTAACACAAAAGTTTGGCTATGTTTTATCTCAACGATCCGGGTTGAAAAAACTGTTCAACTTTCTGAAGGTCTGCACGAAGAGAAAACTAGATGTTTATGACTTGTGATTGTAAAATGAATCACTCTCACATTATGAATAGAATAGAGAAGAGTGAGTTATAATCAAGAAACTTGACCTTTTGCTATTAGGTTTTCACAAAGAAGCACATCTCACTATTTTTGCAAGCTCATGCAGATTGGTAAACAAAGTAAATATTTATGACAGATCCTATCCAAGTCGTGTTAGTTAAGCTTCTAAATGAATGTAATGGGTGTAAAATGAGTGTAATCACGAACGATTCACAACACTTACACTTCTAGTTTAAGCTCAAGAGAAGTAAACTTCAAAACTAAGGGAAAAATACACACCTGACTTAGGCATACGTAAGATCAGATTGCACGGTCTCAAGCCAAGACTCTTGATTTCCTCTACACTTGTGGATAATTTCAAAACCAATTCATTTCCATGTCCATGTGCTTTGAAACTCGGGTGATCAATACTTTTCACTAGGTGACAGCTTCATTCATGTACTGCACCTAAACAGAAACATAAGACATTTGTTAGTGTGATTTCAGTGACTTCCTCGCTGAGATTTATGTATCCAATATTGAGTGGATTTCCAACATGATAAGAACTTGTGAATGAGTGTTAGAGGAAAGCACTTTAGTTGGTCGACACATTTTGATCGTTAGTAGCAAGTGGATGCTTTCACTTTTTTTTTCAGATTTTGATGTTTTGAATGAGTTTAACAACATTTGTTTAATGTAAAATAGTCTTTTTTATATATAACGACATATTAAAGTGAAGCATCTACTTAATGCATGAACATTTTGTGTGAATGTTATTCACAAATTAGAATATTTTTAAAAAGACACAAATCATGGTATTAGGTTTTTTAGATGTAACTAGATCTATGATTAGTAGTTTATCTGTGCTTATTGATTGGAAATCTTGTCTATAAAATTTTACTTTGTTACACGATCAAAATTATTGAAAAGAATCTTTATCCCATGAGAACAATAAAATTAGGGAATGGTTAAATACACCACAGTTTTTAACAAACACACCGCACACCACACCAGCACACCCGCGACACGACCATACTGCAAAGCGCGCACTAAGGTCATCTCTCAGACGGACACACCTACACTCACTTGTTCCTCTCAGATACGGACGCTCTCTCTTTCGCTCATCTACGCAACGGATCCAAAACCAAATGGAAGACGCGCACTTAAAAGATCATTGATTGGCACTCGATCCTGACATTACGTTCCCCGAGCACGAAGACCTCATAACACACGTCCAAAATCATGGCTTGACAAGTGTGTGTGGTGTGCGGTGTAATTAGTAAAAGGTGTGGTGTATTTAACAATTCTCTAAATTTATACATCATTTTTTTAAATAATGAATAAAAATTTTTAAATGCACATGTACAAAACTTAATATTTATTATATAAAGTTGAAAATCTTGATATATTGCAAACTTGTGGTTCTTTATATTTACTTCACTTCACTCTAGCAATATGACATGAGATGATGATATTTCAGTTGAAATATCTTGCTAGACAAGCTAATTTTTTTTCGGATTTCATTTTGTATCTATTTTGCATTCCTTTTTTTCCTCTTAAGAATTTCTTTTTTCGGTTTGAAAATTTGTTGAAAAAAAAAGTGTAAGTTTAACAAACATCATTCATAGCAAAAATAAATCTCAAACTGATATATTTTATACAACTATCTTAAAAATTTTATCTTATATTTAATGAAATTTTATTTTAAATCGCAAATATTTTAATTCAAATCAAAACTAAAAGAAATATAGTCCAATTATATTATTCAATAAAACATGTTTTTATTTTACTATTTAAAAAAATTCCAAAAACATATATTTTATTGCCATGAGCTTCGAATAGAACACTTGTAAAAAATGGTTGAAATACAATACTTGGGCTAATGACGGGTCTTGTGACTAGCTGATAAACATTCATGATAAACCATCTCCCGTTTCGATGGGGGACTATGGAGCATCGATTGGGCCGAATCTAAATCCGTGGTTTGTACCCCTCGGGCTAGTCTCGGCTGGTTTGTGTGGGGAGCACGAACGTCAGCCTGAAAGGGAAGAGGGAAAGGGAGTGGCAGTGGCACGGATATGGCTCCCGCCGGGAGTGCGACGTGAGGAGGTGAATCTTCCAGATACTCACGACAGACGAGGTTCGACACTTTCGCTGCTGCTGCTGTTTCTTCTACTTCTTCTTCCGCCACTTAGAACAGTATATTCTGCGTGTTTTACAGTGCGCAGCGCGGGGCCGTTCGAGCCTAAAAGTTTGTGGCGCAAAGCTGTCGATCGTTTGCTCGCTCTGTCGAGATTTGCTGCGGACAACGATTGCGTTGTTGCGGGGCCGCGCTTCAGAGTTTTCTCGAGTTTTATGTTTTGAGGTTTGTCTGTTTCAGACGCGAGAAATCGTTGGCGCCAGACGCTTGGAAAGATTGGACTTATGGCGGAGGAGACTGCAACCGCGGCGACGAGGCAAAGGTTGGTATCGATTTGGAGATTTATGCGAATTGGCATCGACCGGCATGGGGTGTGTCGGAATCGTCGGATGGTCGTGTTTGCGAGTCGAATAAATGTGCTTATTTCGAATGGAATGTCTGTTGGTATTACGGTTTTACCCTCGTCGCAGGCACTGTCAGATGGATTGAGCTACTTGTAAACGGATGTGAAACCCGAGCTCCATACAGATCAGGGCATGAATGTTTTTTTGAAGCCTTAGGCTTTCATCAATCATCAGGTTTTAGGACATTACTCATTTGAGAAATTGTGGAGAGAATTGTGCTCATGGTATGAAATCCATCGTAACGCATTGGCCTAATTTGTTGCCCAGCGAGCTAGAGGTCATATTGGGCAAGAGTTGATCTTGGCAGTTTTCATCGCAGTCGCCGCTGAAGAATCGCGTGGATTGTGTGAAACTGTTGTTGATTGAAAGATTGAATGATCATCGATGGGCAGCTTCTGACTCCCTTTTTTTTTTTTTGTCTCGTGAGGATGACGAGTTCTTAGGGCTACAAACATCTTGACTTTTTGTTTTAGAGTCTTTTTCTAAAGTCTGGTTTACAGGGTTTTTTTACGTTTTACATTTCGTTTATGTTTATGTAACGAAATGCCGGATTTAATCTTCTTTGAAGATTGAGAATATCAGCTTTGTCGCCCAGTACAATCAGTGGCAGTGCAGACTTCGTTTATGTGTTTTATACAGTACAGAACACCTCTTGGTACATTCGCAGTTAAATTACCGATCAGGATATATCCACAGTGTAAATATTGCTAAGGGTAATGTAGAGGCACAAACTGAATCGAGACATGTTTTCAAACAGAATTAAAGGATCATTTGGTCACCTCTTATTTGATAGGAAGATTTATGACCTTCAACCAGGATGAAACAGCTTTAGTAGTAAAGGCGTTCAATAGTTCGGTACCAGTAGTGACTTTGATGTATGTAATATACAATAGGCTCTTATTTCATCCTTGTAGCGGTCTCTTCACGTGACTCTAATTGTAAGGTAGTTTGCGTTAGCTGAAACAGCGATCGCTTTTTCACAGGAGGAAGAGAAAATGGGACCAACCCGCGGAAGCAGTTGTTACTGCTGGATTTCTGCCTGGCCTTCTGCCATTTGCTGGGGCCGGTGCCTTTGCTGGTATGGGAGCTTTGCACGGGTTTTCATCTCTGGTAGGAGCTTATCCAAGTCTAACCACACCACTTGCAGTTCCGGTTGCAGCCCAGCATTCAATAGCTGTGCATCAAAGTGCAGCCGCGGCAGTTGTTCAGAAGTTCAATCAGGTACTTCAGATCATCGTGGCTTTTCAAAATCTCTTTTATGTTGTCAGTACGTGTTCCCATCATTCTTGCTATTATTATGGACTGAAGAAGTCCTTTTTAGTGAGTATTTCCGAATTGCTGTATACATTTACCGCTTGGACTTCACTAACTTTGACCGATCACAGGACCTTATGAGCAAAGGCCTTTTACCCCAAGCTAAAATACAAGATGAACTTATCGCACGAGAAATAACAATCAATGACGCGGAGGCCGGCGTTCGCTACAAGCTAACCAAACGTCAAACTCAAGAAGAAGTGCGTCCTTTTTTTCCCTTTCAACTGATGTACCAACAGCAATAGAGATCTTCAATAGATCGTCAGAAATCATTTCCGAATTTGTCCAGGATATTGGCGATTTGGTAGATTTAGAGCAAAGTCTCGTCGACGGGGTAATGTATCTCCGTACCAACCAGCACGTCCAGAAGGCATTTGATCTAAAAAAGTCGGTATTGTTTCATATGTGTGCTATTGCCACAATCTGATTCGGTACTCACTATCACACTTTTTCCAGATTCAAGTCAAAACTGGTGCCGTGGTGATCACAAGGTATCAACGGAGATATTTCTTGATTTGATGTGAAAGTGTACCTTTGAATTAACGAATTTCGTAATCATGTACATTCAACTGTGTCTTGTGTCCATCTCCTCGTATGTTTTGCAGAGGTCGTTACAGGCCACCCAACGGACCAGTCGAATCAGAAAAGCCTTTGTATCTTCACATATCCGCCGGTGTGCATGTAAGATCTTTAAGACCTTGAGCCCAAGAATTCAAATCCGAGAGAATCGTTGTAGTTTTTAAAAAAGCTCTCAGTCTCTAGTCAATCCGTCGGAAAGGTTTGAAACAATAATCGTTACTTTACAACCTTGTTTCAATTTGCTTCATGTTTCTAGGCTTGGCGTGTCCACGTCGGGCTTCTTTTGTGTTTGTTAGCTTATCCGTTTCTTCGTTCTGTATGATTGATTGTTCAGGCTCTCCTAGAGCCTCACTTATTTTGCTTTACTGATTCAGTTCAGAGTATGCGGGTCTAAGTTTTTGTTAGATACTAGAACATCGTGGAGTTATGGCTGACATGGATGTCTAATTGTTACTTCTGGATGAAAATTTCTCTTATGAGAACCGCTCAGCTGAAAGATACAGCAGAACGCATCAGAGCTGTTGACCAGGCAGCTGCAATGGTTGAGGAGATGCTGAAGCAGGGTCGTCATGTATCAGCTTCATCGACTGTAGCACCTACTGGGACGGTTTCGAATGGAATGGTGAGTTTTGTACTTCCTCCTCGTGTATTCGAATTAGCTCAGTTTAGCGTCTTGCATGAGAATGAACTAGTGGTCCATATTGAGACTCTGTGTCAGGGAACGAAAGACTAGGTTGGAATGTCGAGCTCCTGAATATCTTTGTTTCAACAATTCTTAGTGTGGCCAGTCTTCCATGCCTCTCTCTGCAATTGGAGAACGCATGATGCTGAAATATTTATTTGCTTGTCAACAGGTTCCTGCACCTTTTGCAGCCAGTATCTATGTCGGTTTTGAAGCGGATCCCTCTTTCAATCTTATGAGGAAAATACGTGGGCCTAATGTAAGCCCTGGCCTTTTATCATATACTAGGTCAATGAGGAAATTACTAGAGATTCTGGAAAGACCAAATTGTGTATATAAAGCTTTTAATACAACTTCCGAAGAAATTGGTGTTTCTTCACTCCTCTCATGTGTCCTACGGCCGATAATTTGACTGGCATCTGATTTGCCATCAGTGGGAAGAGGCATCTTCTGATAACAGTCGGCCGTTCGTGTAGATTCTGCGCATCAAGTGCAACAGTCTCGCGAGGTTGAAAGGCACTCTTAATTCAGTTGCATGAATTGAACGGTTTTCAGTCGTCAATTTCCACGTACTCTGTCGCTAGATACTTGATAGCAGAGATAACGCATCTTGAACATTTCCCTACAGAGCTGAGAGTTCAAGTCTGTGCAACTTCTGGAAGTCATCGTGTTTTCAATGAGTTGCTTTATTTTGCTGAATTTTTTTTATATCCTGTACCTGACATTCTACATCCTCGGGAGAGATTGTTGGTGGTGTTTTGGTTTGGGTTGGTGGATGGGTTATCATTTATTGCAGGATCAGTACATTAATCATATCATGAATGAGACAGGAGCTACTGTCACATTGAGGGGACGAGGCTCAGGCAGTCGAGAGGTTTCTTCTGGCGGCGAAGGTACTGGACGGGTCTTCCAAAGGGCTGTGTCTCGAAGAGTGTCCTCTGGCTGAAATGCAATTGAATCATGGAATATGTATTTTTGAAGTACGCAATAGATGTATGCCTTGAAGAGGTATATTAATAGACGGCTGATTTTTCAGAGATACCACAGCCGCTGCATTTGTACATCACTAGCGACAATTCCAAGAGCCTAGAAGATGCCAAGGTTCTTGCCGAAAATCTACTACAGACGATAAGGTACTACGAGAGCTTTTGAGCGTTTTTGTTTCACACTTTTTACAAATCTGATATCTTCGACGAGATAGCTTCTATTCGAGCGATTGTTCGGTGGCCCGCAAGAAGAACACACTGACGTGTATTATATTCTTATGCTGGCATTTATGCAGATCAATGCCGGACAGACACGGCCCAGGTGCTGTGGCACCTGTATCTTCAACCTATTCTACCACACAGTCATCAACATATCAGCCTTCTGGGTTTCCTGGCACTGGCCTGCCACATGTTCCTTACGGAGGCTACCATTTGTCTGGAAATGGGAGTTACCCGCCACCTTACGTAGGAAGTCAGCCCCTCTATTATCCCCCTGTGTCAGCTGGAGTTGCTGCTTCAGCTGTTCAATCCTCACCCGCCTCAAGCACAGCAACAGATATCCACACGAATAGGTAATTTCTAGCGTTTTAGTGATTAGTTCCTTTAAGTTTTCTACCGCACAGCTTTGATATACGTATACTTGTCGTTGATATTTTCCATAAATGAATATGCAAGGATGTATGTCATGACCTCACAATTCATGGTGCGCAGCGTGAAAAGTCTTTTCACGGACCTATTCCTTGCTTTCGCTGTCATGACCGTAATGTGAACTTGTTGGGCCACAGGGTTCCTGCCAGTAAGGTGTATGCAGCTGTACCTCCACCAGTGCAACTACTGGGAGAACAATCTGGATCCAGTGATTCCGGCGCGAGTCAAAGCTCTTCTCTTCAGGATGCAGATCTCAAGATCAGCACTGATTCCTCAGTTATCAAAGTTTCAGCATCTGCTCCTACCTCTGCTGATTTGTCTTCTGCCGTCAACCCTTCACAGATTGCTTCATATACTGCCTTCCGTACTGGTTCTACTGCCAACACGGCTCCCGTCCAGTCCCCACAAGAAGCGTTGAGACCCTCTTCCTTCTCGCCGGTAATGATGGCCCAGGCTCCCCAGCCCGACGCAAATGTACAAAACATCCTACCAGCTTCTACTCGAGCTCTTCAGTCGAGTTATGGGCATTCACAAATGTCTGCCTACAGTGGCTACAGTGGCGTCTACCCACAGGCGTCTCCATTGCAGCAGGTGGCTCAAGCCTTGCAAAGACCCCCACTACCAGTATCATTAAAGCCGGGATTAACTCCAGGATTTCCAGTTGCAGTATCTACCAGGTCACAGGCAGGATTTACCCAGGAGAAGCTAGCAGACAAGCAATACACACAACGCCGAAAGTTTCAGGAGTTTCCAGTTTCTTCGACCAAGGAATCTTCAGGAGATGAACAGGTGAGAATACATTTTTTAATTCTATCAATCCTAGAATTGGTACATGAGAAGCTTTGTTTTGCGTGTACTAACTGGAACAGCTAACAAAGCATTTGTCAGTTGGCTCGAACGCCCAGATTTGTTATGGTACCTTAATAGGCTACCAGAAGGCTTTATATTTCTTGGAAGAGCCTGTTCTCAATGGTGACGCTGCAGCTTCACGTTACGCCACTGGATTCGGCAATCCGCTTCATTTATACTCAAAAGTGGATGCAGTAATAAATATTGAAAGATTATGGTCAACATTTGATTTTACACGTTGGTTTCACTGACACTGCATGTACGTGTGCCAGGTATATCTGACCTTCAATCGAGCTTGACCTCTAGCGCGCTCATCAGTTTGGACGTGCATTTCAGTTGTTTCACAGGATAAAATTCTCGAAAATGATATGAAGAATTTGGAGTAGCATGAGGTTAAGGAGGCTGACTGACGCGTTGGCGAGATTATGCGTCCTGTCTTGTTTGGTCCTACCTAAGTAGTTCGTTCCACCATTGTTCCCTTCTCTCAAGTCTTTCCTCGTCCATTTTCTGAGATTCTCACTGGGTTGGGGAGTGAATAACAGCATGCGTATTGATCTTGATTTGTTGTCGATCGGCGTAGACCTAGTTAACATCTGTAATTTCCTGTCAATTGTTTTTCTCAGTGCGTTGATCCCTCAATAGTGCTCAATCAGTGTGGACTTTTATGATTTGGTTACGTACTGAGCTTGGATGTCTTGTAGCAGCATGGTCGGAGAGGAGCAAGCTCATCTATAGTTCTTGATCCTAAAGCTTGTCAAGAAACATGTTCTTCCAGTAAATCTATGCCCCCACCACCAGACAAGATCATGCCGTCACTGCCTCCACAGAAGAATTGTGCTTCAATACCTGCAAATTTAGCACAGGCACGTGCATCATCTAAAGAAACCGTATCGTTGACTTCACCTACCGTGAAGCAACCGGAGGATGGCCATGGTGAGTTTTCTCTTCTTTCGTTAAGGTATTAGTGCGCTCCTTTCTCTTCTTCAGCTTAGATTATGTGAGTGATTGATTGCTGCCCTTCTACACATGGAGCCATTCGTTCACCTTGTGTTTTTACCAGCAGACCATCATGGAATGTTCTCCGCCTACTATTTAACTCTGTGTTTGCCCACTTTGCGCAACTGTTTTGCCACTGGTTTTGTGTTGTTAGTTTCCCCTCATCGTACAGGTCTGAAGCTTGTGGAGTATGGTGAAGAGGAGGAAGAGTCATCTGAAAATGCAGAATCACCACATTCTTCAAATGGCATAACATCGCCATCTTTTTTCCCTGGGAAACCTTTTTGGGCGGCTTAGTCATAGCTTTTGATTCCTTGAATATTTCTTGTCTGATTGATTACCCCTTCGAAAGCAACTTTGATGTGCTTTCAGAGGGTTATGCCCTAAATACCATCTGATGTTCATGACTTCCTCACAAATTTGAAGGAAGGAGTGACAGGATTTCAGTTCAAAGGGCAGTTGAATATCAAAGCGGTGAAGAGAAATTGGATGTTACAACGAGGGAGAATTCTTACTACTCAGCGATGAATTGCTGAGCACGTTTATTGTTTCTTCCTGCATTCTGCGCACATAGACTCCATGAGCGGAGTAGAATGCAGATGCGTTTGGAAACTACGTCAGGAAAAGTCATGCGGACAAGCCGTCCGCAGGACTTCCAAAGTCTTGAAATGAACATCTAGGGTGAAATATTGGCAGCACATGAAGTAGAGAGTTGTAATGCTAGTGCAATAGTAAGCACAAGCATCTGTCTGTATCTCAGGACCTTTTGAGCTCCTGATAGTACTGGCCCATGTTACCTTAGCGTTGTTGAGAGCCAAGTGGACTGAGTTGAAATGAGTGGCAGGTGAGCTGTGTAGTTGATGCTTAACGCATCATGCACTACTCATGCTGTCGAATTATTACGAGCAAATCTGTTCAAAGTTATCTTCTTTTCTTTCACGCTTCACTCTCATGCACTACTCATGCTGTCGAATTATTACGAGCAAATCTGTTCAAAGTTATCTTCTTTACTTTCACGCTTCACTCTCATGCACTACTCATGCTGTCGAATTATTACGAGCAAATCTGTTCAAAGTTATCTTCTTTACTTTCACGCTTCACTCTCAATGCACTTCCACCGTGTATTTATGTGCGGATAATATTTCTCATATGTTGAATGGGCATTGCACAGGAAAAAGCTTACGAAAATGTGTTCTGATGTTGTTCCCCTCATGGAAATGAGTTTAGTATCACATCGGTATTGACAAAAATATATATTCAGATTGCCAGTGTTATAGTGGTACGACGATGGATTGTTGCTTCAAAGTCTCTCTAAAGAGCATATTGTACAATAAACAACATACTAGCGACTGTACGATGATTATTATTTTTGCTGTGATAATCTTTTTTATCAGAGTAGATTTCAACAGTTCATCATATTTTCCTTTCGAGTCGAGAAATGGCACTAATAATGCCAGCAACTTCTTCTTTCACATTTTTCATGCGGTGACATGCTGCTGGCTCCGGGTGCTTGAGCGGTTTAATTTCGCCGGTACTCAAGAGATTTATGTTTGCTGTCAAAAACGAATGTATGTAATATTTCTTTGGTAATGTATTATATATATACCGCTAAGAACATGACGTGACAGAAGTTAAAACAAATGTATATGAATTATCAGTAAGTCACATTTACCGGTGATATATCTTCCTACTTCGAAATTTTCCGGCATGTTCAGAAGGACCAACTTGAGCTTGTAAAGGAAGCTTTCCAAGATATTAAGCATTTGTTGTCGGGTTCACTTCAGTCTTAATCTTATCATGCAGATCGTGCGCTCTCACGACAATTACAAAACCTTTTCGCATTTCTTCTCATCCAGAAATAAAATGTGCAGTACTCATGGACAGATAAAATCTGAATTAGATATTGATCAAATTGAAAGACGAACATTTGTTTACCCGTAACAAGGGTATAACAGGATCCTGGCGAGCAACAATACACTAGAGTAGATTACCAACTCTGCGATCATGACACGGACATGTGGGCCTCGGTGCGTCGAGAAGACACACAGCCTCTCGGAAAGGGTATCTACAAAGGTTGCGGAGACCAATATACAAAATGGCTAGACAGGTTCCAATAATCGAGAAATGACACCACCTACACTTCAGCGCGGCGTTGAGTTGGAGTTGGCAAAGCCTGCTCCAGGACGGACTCAAAAGCCAAAAGTGATTCCCGTCGATGTAAATCATGATGCTGAGGATCAGCACTCTGCACTGTGTCAAAAGTCGGCACCTACGCTCGTGGACTTCGGAGAAAGCGTAGAAAGGCCGGTTTCCCGTGTGACATCCTCCGAGCTGGTACCGCTCGAATCTGCGTGCGAGGAAGGACTACACGAAAGCAGGTTGAAGCCGCATTGCTGGAAAACACAAAGCACCCTTCAGTGAGCCATGTCGGCGACAGCTCGATGCGGTAGGGATGAAGGTTGCTGGCAGAAAGCTCAGGCGCTCGTGAACTTAGTGACGGCTTTCGTTCCTTCCGAGACGGCGTGCTTCGCCAGCTCCCCTGGTAGTGTGAGTCTGACCGCCGTCTGAATTTCGCGGGAAGTGATGGTGGGCTTCTTGTTGTACCGGGCCAACCTCGCGGACTCCTGCGCCAGCTTCTCGAAAATGTCGTTGATGAACGAATTCATGATCCCCATAGCCTTGGAAGAGATTCCCATTTCGGTGTGGACCTGCTTGAGAACCTTGTAGATGTAAATCTTGTAGGTCTCCATACCCTTCTTCACCTTCTTCTTCTTCAGATCCTTCGTCGCTCCGCCCTCTTTGCTCATGGGCTTCTTCTCCCCCTTCGGCCTTATGGTCTTGCCTGCGGGCTTCTTCTCCGCCCTCCCTTTCGAAGACTTCTCCCCCTCCTTTTGAGCCATTATCTCCGACGGCCTCACAACAAATCGACCACTTCCTCGAGACGACGGCCTCACACTCGGCTCAGCTCCAGCTCGCGCTCAGCTCACACTCCGCAGACTGTCACTCCTCTCCAGCTCGAAACGCAGCTCGTAGATGAAATCGAAGTCGACGCAACAGGCAACAGAATGCAATTTATGGTTGCGGAGGCTGGAGCTGCGCGCCACAATCGGGAGGAATCGCCACAGGATTTGAATACGAGCGTGGCCGGATCGGGCTCTCACTCTCGAGAGTTGGCGCGCGGGCTTCTGAGCAGAGAGCGGGGGAGGGATGACACCTGACTTCCGTGTCTGGCTCGCGCTTCGGCCGCTGCGCATTGTTCATATTCAGCCTCACTTTCTACTCCTTCATGCTGGCCAATCATTTCGCGCTGCGCCATACACGCGGCTTTGTGACGTGTCCTCTCTCCGATGCCGTCCCATTCTGCGGCCACAGATCTGCTTGCTCCGAAAGTCTCTCCTTTGGTCGACCTGTTATGATTGTTCCAACCCTTGTGTGAAATTAACGAAGTTCATTGCTTTGGCTAGAATCATTGCCAAATACGGACATAATGATAAAATGTGTGTTTAAGATAAAGGCCGACGCTGTTTCCATTAAAAGAATGATTCATGATGATAAAAAGCTCTTACTGTCTTCTTTCACTGAGTTGATGTAATTTAATTTTCTAATATCCTATTGAAATGAATTAAAAATTACAGACTTCCAGAAGTCTATATTCACGCAAATAATGATGTATATACCTACTTGAATCAATCTTTCATAAAAAAATCGAATATATAATGCTATATATATATATATATATATATATATATAATTTACTATATATCCAACTTGAAAGAAAGTAAATTTAGTTTATATGTGTATATATATAACATTTATTTTAAAGTAAAATTCTATATCACATTATTGTATATAAAGATAATTATCTACCTAATAATTATAATAATCTACCAATGAATAGAAATCAACTTAATGTTTTACTCATCAGATTTCTTCTTAAACATATGATAGTAAATTAAGTTCAAAAATTCATCAAATTCTATATTATTGTATATTTTATTTAAGAATTATTATCATTAACTAGAAATCAAAATTAATATTAAATCCAGTATATTATTTCATCTCATAATATTTGAATTAATATTTTTAGAGTTAACTTTTGTCACGAAAATTATTCTATATACAGAATATATTTATGAAAATACAAAATTTACAATGAATAATCTTTTATCATATATTTTAAGCAATTTTGAAATGAAGAAAAAAATTGATAATTATCTTTCAAAGTAGCAATAGGAACGTTTTCTATTAGTACAATATACACTCGTTTAAATCCGCATACATATAATTCCGTAATTTTTGAACAAAATTTCAAGTATCAAAATTTTTGAGATTTATTGTAAGCGAAAATCAAACATGGTCAATTGGCGACTGTTTTCAACGTATTCGTGGGTGATGAAGTATCTACCATACTATATTGTATAACACAACATAGTGTAAAGAAAATACATTTAGACTACAATGACAAATAAAAGAAACATCTTAACGTATAAAAAATCAGATAGAGCTAATCCATATCAAAGTTGTTGGTGTACATTTCAAGTTCATACTCCTTGGATTCAATAATAGGGTCCAAAACAACATTATCCATAGCATGTTCAATTTCTTAAGCAAATTTTTGAGATACATCTGCAAATCTTTGCTATCATTATTCAAACATTTCTCAATCTCGCTCTTAATATCCATTTCAAATGGATCCGTCAAGAATATTACAGTTGCTTAACAATTCAACAATTTCAGTAATAGTGGCATCATCGCGATCGATATTATCGGCGTTGCCAAATCCAAGAGAAATATGTACTTTTTTAAGCAGTTTTTCAAACTATTAGTGAAAATGTCAGTCCAAGCAACATTTGCAAACTTTGCAGCATCAAGCAATGTGCAGATCTTCCGTAAGCATTGCTAGCGGTGCCCCGTTTGAATTCCAAAGATGCTAATGCAAGTTGGTATTTAAGTTCTTATGTAATGTCATAAAATGCAGCGATATACTTTAAAGAAATATACTTGTATTGTTTTCTAAGACTGAGATGATATCCATATTCATTGACTACTTCCAAGGGGTGACATTAGGTGGAAAAAATTCAACACGAATGCCATTTGGCTAAAATATAGTAGTATGACGAGGAGCATTGTCAAGTAGTAACAACACTTTGTAAACTCTCTATTGCCTAACATTAGGCTCAAAGACATCATCAAATCACTTATTTAAGTTCAGTACATCAATCCAAGTGTTTTTGTGGTAAAAATAAGGAATGAATCAAATGATTCCAACAATGAAAGTAGGTTGATTTGCTTTACCCATCATTGTGATCATAACTACTTCTGTTCCACTGCAGTTGCAACACACCACCAATGTTACCTTGTCTTTTGCTCGCATTTTGCCCCGGACATTAGTTAAATCTTCATGTGGCATTAGCACAATATATTGTGAAATGACACGGGAGAACAACCCAGTTTCGTCTATTTTGTAACAGCATGCAGCATCATATTGGCCAATCAAGGAAAACAAGTCTTCCAAAGCTTTCAATGTTTCTGTCGACCTTGCCACCTTCTTCAAACAAAATTATGTTGTTTAAACCATGTTGATGTTGAAATCGGGCAAACTAGCCTCACGATGTCTTGAATTTATCATGAGCGATTTCCATTGAGGTCGTAATTTGTTTTGCTTTGTGGCAAATAATAATGGAAATCAAAACAAGCAAAGCTCGACATTTCTTCATCAATCCATTCCAGAATCTTCTTTTCAACCTTAGAAAACATCGACTAATAAGCAGTTAATGTTGACTCTTTAGATTGTGTAGTTATTGTAAAACATACAGAGAGATGACTTGAAGAAATAAATATTATGACACTACGAGTTAACTAAGGGTAAACAGATTAAATACAGAAAATAGTAAAATTTTTTATCTAATTTGTTCAGTAAACAATATATATTGATATTAAACAACTTAAATATATAGAATTAAACTAAAGAAATTTTTATTTTCACACCTTTTTTGCTAGATTCACATGTTCATTGCACTAAAAGAGTTATCTAATATCTCAAGAATAGCTATGAACAGGAAAGACCGTTACTCAACATTAAAACAAGCAAGAAGTTGGTTTATAACAAGCAAAAAAAATGTAATCTAACAAAAATGATGTGAAAATGAAATTTTCCTAAAGTGACCAAGATTAAATCAATCATGAATCAATTACTAACACTTTGTAACGTGTTGAACTGAATAACATTTTGAGGTTCATGAACTCAAAATTTAATAAAAAATTAACCAGTTTGAAAACGTAGAAAACCATTTTTTTAAATTTTAAATAAGTATTTGATGGAATTTAAAATGTTATTGAACATGCAAAAGTTGGATTCTGATTTGATCGTTTAAGCTGAAAGATTTATAAAAAACTATATACAAAGTTGAGTTGCAATGCTAATTTGATTTTGATGATTTACAGATTCAAGTTTTTTTTATTTTAATATATTTAGAATCAAAACTTAAATTATAGTAATCACATGTATTTGAAATAAGTGAAGCACATTTGTACATTGTGCTAACCTTGTGTACACATCTATACAAGTGTTCAGGTATTCAGTACATTGTGAGTCTTAAGTTTATTGCAAATCTTGCTAATTCAAAGAAACTAAATTTAAAATAAACCAAAATTCTGAAAAATTGATGAATCACTCAGTTCGATTTTATTCATATGAAGGTAGTGTAGGAACAAAAGAAGCCATAAAAAAAAATGGAAACTATGGATAGCGGACTGATCTTTTAAGTAGGCTTTTGAGTTTTTAGATTATCAATTCACAACTTCCCGGACTCCATAAATGCATCAAGGGAGGGTTTCCAAATAGTCTTACGAATCAATTTAGATTTGATAGCAAGTGGTCGAATTTCAGGGCAGAAGTTTCGGTATGATCTGTCAAGTTCCGACTACGGCAGAGGTGAAGCACAGGATCTCACGATTTCTTCATGACGAAACGGAAGCTGATATTTCAGCTGGGACACACTTTCCTCTGATGCTGCACGAAGTATCGAATGCATGCGATCAACATTGATCATGCTATGAAGATTGATGTTTTCTGACAGAGACGAAATAGTCTGGATAATACAGCATTTCCTGGATACGGCTCTTCAAAAGGACAGAAGGTCGGCAGATGAAGCTCTGGATGACTCGCCGTCACAGGATTATCTCACATTTGACCCTTGACGCGGACGTTGTCGAGATCCTGCTGCCCAAATTCAATGAGAGGATAATCTTATCTGATTGAAAGGTATTCTAAAGTGTCTTCGAGCCATAGCTGCGAGCCTCTCAAAAATGTGGCAAGAATCGAGTTTAGATGTTCTAAAGTTGATGCTCGTCTATCGACTCCTGATGCCAGAGTCCACGTACACAAATACCAAGTTTATCCTATCGGAAGGTGTTCTACTCAACTCCTCGGACTGTAACTGCTAGCCTCTTAAAAGGCTTCCATTGGCCGTGGCCTCATGAACTCAGCTAGTCTGATGCTAAAAGCTCGTGGAAGCTACGGCAGCGGTAGTCATATATTCCAATCTCGTCAAACCTCAGCTCCGTTCTGAAAACTCTGTAGGACTTCATCTTGGTTTCAAATATATGCGAATGAAGCAACAGTATGATAAGCTGATGGTAGAATGGCGCGCTAGAAAGCCATCTAGGGCCACGATGGAATTAGGAGGAGGAGGAAACCTCAATGAAGGTCTCCCTCAACGAGATGGAGAAACAAATCTAACTCATATAATGAAGATAGGCAAATCGCAGTTCCGATTTCAATATGGCGGTTTGGAATATTTGTGAGTCTCCATGAAATTCCTTAGTAAGAACTCGAAGTCCATCGATGCGAATCCGTATATGATTGCGAAGATCCGGAGCATCTGAAACGCATTTATTTATGACTGGAGGCATCTTACAACTGCCAAAATAACCGTGATCGGTTACCTTGCTTATTGTTAATTTTTGCCTTAAGATTTTGAGTGAAAACGCTGCAGCATTAGTATTAGACAATACATCTAGAATTGTATACTGAGGATTGGTGACTTACAAAAAAATACAGTATTATTTTGACTCCAGTGCAGTAATGTAGTCTGGTGACAGCGCTGTATGTCAGACTCTGAGGCACCGATAATTACAAGCACTGTGTATCATGTATCCACTTTCGTCAATACGCTAATGGAGGTTGTGCGGTTGCTGGTATATCTCGTGTGAATGCATATCATGTCTTTGGAGCCAACCGTAAACTTCGGCCAGTTTGAACTGGATTAGGCCAGTGTTCCAAAGGAGACTATGCGGTCCCATTCCAAAATAATAGCTTTCGGCTTGTCCAATATGATTTATTCCAGATAGAATTACGTGCAGACTAGAGGCGAGCGCAAGATATTAAGTACTCTACTCTTTTCTTGAACTTCTTACTGAAGTAATTGTCATGAGTGAATATCAAAGAAAATGCAATCAATAATGCAAAACATAGATGAATCAGCTTAATACATCTTCCCTGGATACGTGCCTTACTGAATGAAATTTGTCCCAGACGGGAATGCAAATTAACCCATTAGCTGCGACACTCTTAAACTAACACAAGATTCAATTCATTCAAATCATTTTTCATGCAGAACCGTGCATTATGGCGCGTGGGAAAAGACCTCAGAAATATCTGATTTACACAGTAAATCAGATGTCTGAAGAAAATGTGGACTGTCAAAGTCGTCCAAGTAGAGCACGCATCAGTTCTATAAGCTAAAACTTTTTCGCCATAATTTTCACTAGCATCCGTGGACGAAACACAAATACTGCTCGTGGAACAGTTTCAAGAGTAAAACTGGTTGATGGAAGAGAATAAATTGCAGGAGAGACAAACTGAATTCGATCCTGCCTTTTATTATAACGATGTAGACGATTTATTTGCTGTCAACCCAAAACCAATTCAAGGGTCGAAACAGTGCAATTCCTCTGATGCAAAGAGGAAGTTGAGGAGGACATTGCAGATTCCCCGTTTTGAGAAGATATCCCGACGTTTTACGAGAACACTCCATTTTAAGTTCGTCATGTAACTACGGGCTGTTATATGGACCGGAGTAGGTGACAGTGATATGTCCGACGTCTAGATTTGCTATGGCTGCAAATGCTGTGTTGGACAAATCAAATGCTCGCCCACCTACACATCCATTAGGGCAACGATCCACTATCTTGACAGAGATGGTAGCTGAGCTGGTGCAGCCATTGCCTGTGCATTTGATCTTGAACCATTTTCCACAGTTTGCACTATTGTTCCAGATGTTGGGTGCTCCGTCACCTCCCGCAGCAAAGTAATTATTGGAGGGAAACTGACCTGCATTGTCTCCAAAACACGCGGAGGCTGCATCCAACGACCAAACAGATTCAAGCTCGCATGCTGAGAATGGTGCAAGCTTTATCATGACGTGAATAAAGTGGAGCTTGAGCAAGGATGAATCAAAAATGTAATATTTTCTTCAACGGACGAGATTATCACGCAAGTGTCAGCAGGCAATGTGAAAATGCGGGCGAAATTGCTTGCATTCCCATATTCGCAGCAAGTTGGGGACTAAGCATGGTTTGTGAATTACTAGATAAAGAGTGAAGATAAATAATTATTCTTCAAGCTTGATCACAGTTCTAGACAACCTCCATCCTGAACATGGTTAATTGATATAAACTCCGTCAGCTAGAAACGACTATTCAGGGTTCACGCAAATCATTGTAGAACTTAAGGTCAATCGATTTCATAAAGTTCGATCTTGACCACAATGTGGACTTCTGTATGCATGAGGCTAACTCACTTACTCAGAAGGCCTAGGAAGGGGAAACGGAAGGTACTTACGAACGAAGGGAGCTGTATAATACGAAGCTTCCCCGGTCTTCGTGCCGGGAGGAGTGCCGGAAGGAGGAGGAGGAGGTGGAGGACGAGGAGAGCTGCCAGTGCATGGTCCGCTTTGGCAGTTGGTTCCACAGTAGTCTGATGTAGTTCCACAATAGCCCCACTGGCTGCAGCAAAGGTTGTTGGGACACACTGCATTCCCTGCTTGTCGTCCACATTGTTCTGCTGCACAAAGGTGAGAAAACAGGAGTAACATTGTTGCCACTTGAATTACCTTAGAATCCATCTTTGATATCTGCAGAGACAGAAATAACCATGTCAGAGTTATATACGTAGTCTCGGTCTGCTTCTATGAACATGCTTTCTTCCATACAAGGGAATGATCACTCTGTTTACAAAATCTTCAAGATGAGTATGCAAACGAATCGAAAGCAAAGCTGATTACCTGCATTCAAAAGCTTTCTGAGTATCAAGAGGGACCTCTGAGAGTTGAAGAGTGAGATTGCCTACTTCCAGCAAAGCTCGATGTATTTATAGCGTGAGGGGCAGGTGAACATTTGACTAATTCGGACTTCAGAAGCGGCAAAAGTCATCACCCAATGAAAATCATCACAGTAGAACTTTTCAGTATCTTATATATTTGAATATATATTTAGTGTAGATCGAGCATATGCTCTATTAGATCACAAGGCCACGTTATGTGGAAATCTCTGACTTGGAAGACCTCGAAAGAAACACTCAGGATCTTCAGTATATGAAATGGTAGAAAACATTCGCCAGGCAAAATGGCATCGGCTCTCAAAAACGGCACGAACTTCATCCTTGACTCTAGAGGCAGCTAAAATATGCAATCATACCAGCTATGCGAGCAGTACTTTTGACGAAGGTGGAAAATGTATACAGATATTGCACACGTGGGGATGGCGACTCAAAAGTCTAATAAATAGATTTTGTTACCAGAGTAGCTTACTGTGCTGAGAAGTGGGGGAAATATTGTATTCTGTTCATAAGTCACCGATCTCAAAGATAAATCCTAGGCCCATTTCCCAAAGTGTTGATCATGATCGCTTGCGTAATCCATCTTCATATGTTGTACATCCTTTATCGGAAAGCACATTGGTGGGTCAGGAGTTTATCCAGTATGGTAGATATCAGATGTCAACTGTGAGGATATCTAGGTTTCGGCCCGGGTGGATGTTTAGGATTGGGCAGAAGTTCTTCTTCGCCAGATCCTCGTCAAAACTTACAGTATACTCCGCAAATGTAATTTGTCTTGAGAAGTTGAAATTTGAAAGTATCGTTTCATATCGTCAGTAATAAGGAGCGTCACTCGTTGAACCTTCCTTTGTTTATTCTCATCCAGTATATTTTGGAGTCCTCTCTGCTCCCTTCTTCTCATAATAAACCCATGAACATAGATCGGTTTTATGATAAAGTGATGTTAGTGAAGAAAACCTTTTACGACGCTGGTCTATTATCCAACCATGAGAGTTCCGAAGTAAGCTTCTTGAGTATTATAAAAAGGAAAGATGTCAACACCGCTAGCCTCCAAGAGCTGTAGCGCGAGGCCACGTTTTTCTAGGGACATGGGAGGGCAATGGCGGTTAGATGATTGAAGGGAACTGGCTCATCGTGACAAGTAACGACCTGATGGAAAAACAACGGGAGCTGGGACTAGTCGCAAGACCCGGGAGATTTTCCAAGATGACCAGACCGGACATGGGTTTATCAGCCGAGGGAGAAAAGAAGTTCTTTTGAGAGGGTGGAAGTTAGAATTCGACAACAGTTGGGACGAAGACCTTGTCTCGAAAAAGCTTCAACTGAGGCATTGGGACTTTTGACTTCAGGATTCGACAGGGTCAGTATGAACTGTTCAAGTGGAACGTCCACCAAAAATACAACTACAGCATGTACCTACATGTCATGCGTTTTCTGGTCAATTTGTACAGTGAAGAACCAAGCCCGCATTGCTCCGAATGTCGCCTTCGCTACCTGATTTCATCGTCAGTCCCCTCCAGAACGCAAATAACAACAAAATCGCTTGACTAATAAGCCGCTCATTTCTTCGAAACTCATGTTCTGACTTACATATCTCGGGCTACTGGAATTAAAAACAACATAGACCGCAAGAGGATCTGCTTCAACTGGTAATATTCATACTCTCTTGAAGATCACAAATTCACATAGTCTAATTAAATACAATTTCAGGTGTAGTTAGTCGAGTTCTGATAATAATTTTTCAAAAACTTGGTGAGAGCTTCTGGCGATGTGCTTTTTCTAGTACTTCTTCATGTACTGTTGAGAACACAGATTCCAGATTCTTGATCTCTTAGTTCAGTGAATGCCACTAATAATGTCGTGAAGTGGTTACTGATTTCTTGACAATTCCACGTGAACGCATACATGAGGTCCTGCTACACCTTGAGCTGATTATTAGAAAATCCACCAATTATTTTCCATGTTACAGTCTTAAACATCCCTCATTTTACAGTCATACCAGATGATGATGGCTGCCTCGCCTTCAGAATTGATTAGCTGCATTCTGCACTCGATCATCTCGAAGAAAGAGTTCGTTGAATATAATGAGGTATAAGGGGAACATATTCCGTACTAGATCCAAATTCACTCTGTCCTTCAGCTTTAAGAAGAACCTGAGCTATATCCTAAGAAATTTCACCTGTCTTTGTATCATGTGCAGCTTCGTTTTTTGTGGGAGAGCAGAACTGATTTCTCAAGTGCCTGCTTGACTGACTCAGACCTCAGCTGTGGCAAAAAAAGTCATACCAGGTAAACACGGATAGTATACGTGTAGGGTTATGATTTGATACAAATCATATTGGAAAAAGTCACAAGCACACGGTCTCAGCCAGATAAGGACAACATCTCTTTGGAAAGTGGCCTACAGGGACGTGGCACAACCATCCCTCCTCACGTAGAATCTGCAAAACCACAAGCTTTACATGACGTTTGTCTTCATGAGTGACTTCACCAGCGAACTGAAAGTAATCTGCAAGTTATCGGGGACTCAAAGTCTGAGATTGTCACTAAACTAGGTTACTGTCGAAATGGTTATTTTAATCAGCCGTTCCTGGAAAACAATTCTAAGTAAAAAATTTGGATTGAAACCAGCCTCATATCCAATAAAATCTATAAGTCTTGTATACCTGGGAGCTACTGCTTAGAGTATCTCATATGCTCTTAGATGCGATTGAAACACGTTAGCAAAAGTAAGCGGTTAAGTATGCGGTTGGAAACGTGAAACCGGTAAGATTTAAATATGCTTGATAGCATGCTTGAATTTCGTAGACGATGGCTAAAGTTTGCAGATGTGATTTCGGAGTCTTGGACTTGACCTTGAGATGCTTGACCCTCAACATATTGTTTTTTAAATCTTCCGTTCAGGTCAGTTCAGGTTCAGGTCCCAAAGCAGAGGGATTTTAGTGAAGTTCAAGCTTGACCTTGAGGTGCTTGACCCTCGATATAGTGATTTATCATATCTTCCGTTCAGGTTCCGAAGCAGAGAGCTTTTAGTGAAGCTAAAGCTTGACCTTGAGGTGCTTGACCCTCGGGAGTTGAACGTGAACATTGGATATTTTGGAATCATTGCACTCATGATCAGTGAGAAGCAGCATCTCGTGAAGGAGCTTGCTGGCTGAGTCATTTTTTCTTCTAGTGAGACAAAGACAGTGTAGAACTATTCAGTGAACAGTGTAAACTTTGAATGACATACTGTTTTTCACAAACATGTCAACGGAAATGATAGTCGTGATAGATCGATGCGTGTATTTCAGCATCTACAGCTTCGAGACGGAGTGATATCAGAGGACAATCCACCCTATACTCGAAGCAGAGAAGCCCGGATTGCGCCAATGGATTGCGCCAATCAGTCTGCCACTTCAGCACCGGTACTCTATGTCTACTCTGTCTATATCATACTCTATGTCATATCACTTCTTACATGAGTTCATAACTGTTTGACGAGAGAAAATGATCAAAACGTGGGGAGCAATAGAGTAAAGGAACAATTGGATACAAAATTGAGTTGAATTTCTGAAATAAGGTGCTTAGCATTTTAGACCAACTAATTACATTTCAGCAAACCAGTTATGTGAGTATGCAAAAGTGCACGTTATTGATTGCTTCAAGGATAGTTCAATTTGTGTGAACTAGGGTGACATATGTGCAAAAGAATTCAAGCCACGGCTACCAGATTCGTGAGGCGACTAGAGTACAGTTGAAAATCCTTATTCTCATATATTTTTGTCGAAGTTAGAGTGGTTGATTCCAAAGTAGCGACATTTGTCTGGTTCAAAGTCATGACTTTCAAACATGGATGTATACATTGATGATCACATGTATCATCCGAACAAAGTTGTAAGAGCTGTTGCTCCGCATCAGCTAAAAGAATGAGGTAAATGTGGAGCAGAAAAACTTGGATATAGAAACTGTCATTTAAGAGTTCGTATGAAAGCAAATACAACAAGTCAATACAATAAGGATGACGACAATAATAAGATAATGGAAGGTAAGGCAAACTAAGAATTTTTTGGGCATTGGTGCTCAATTTATCGCAGGAATTAGAGACGGTAGAAGGTAATCACTGCATGTATGGATGGGATTCTCAACTGGACAGCTATATAAATATAATCCTGACTATGAATTGCGTAATCCCAGGGAGGTAAGAGCATGCCTAGTGATTCGGAAGCTGACAAAAAAACTAGAAATATCGTGTGAACAGAAGAAGCAGTTGAAGCCGTGAATGCAGTTTCATGCGGTGTTCCAAGAACATCGATTTGCTCTCAGAAATTGTTTTAATCCCTGGCTGTAGAGGAATTTTCTGGTTGGGCTCTCAAAATATATTCAACTTTTTTTTTAATTTTCTTTTTCGAAAAATTGATCGCATCCTACGTTAGCTCAAAGGTAATACGTGGATCCTATTTAGTTTAATCAACATGTAATCCAAGTCATCGTATGATTATTCTAAATTTTTTAAAGAAATGTGTCTCATCATCAAAGTTTCAACTTTTAGAAATATTCTTGATAGATTATATTGGCAAAATTGTTATGATAGTATTTGCAATCCTGGAACTCTAAATGTATGCAAACCTTATAACCTCTACCTTAACACCTTGAGCTGATCCAATTGAACCTCATCCATACAATTGAATCCATCCGTACCAACGCTTGAATTCCCTGAATTCAAGCGAATTTAACGTACTTCAACTATATGATAATTATAGTCGATATGAACATCATTGTTTATATCTCTATTGCAAAACCCTGCGCTTGGTTCAGTAAATCCTTTGTCCAGTAAATATGAACACATTCAAATCAATTCCGAGAAAATTTAACTTGTATCAAAGTGGAACTAAGATGAAAGATAAAATTTGATCATCTTCAAGATGACAAACGATAGTCACATGAAGCTAAACGCAGATTCACCGACTTTAGATTTCGTCAGTTTGGGTTCTTAACGCTGATGTTGCGGAGATCCTGAAGGCAAACTACACACACATTTTCTTCCTATCAGATAAATTTCTCCAATTGACAGGTCTTCTGAACTATCTTCAAACACCAACTGCCAGCATCTCAAAAGAGTTATATTTTTCTAGAAAGCAAAAAGCCCAAGGTTCATTTGAAAAAGCTGATGCTCAGTTTTTCGACTCCTGAAGCCAAATTCCACATTCACAAATAACAAGTTTCTCCACTCTTTGGACTGTATTTCTCAGCCTCTCCGAACGCTTCCAATGGCCGTCGGCTCATAAATTCCGCTAGCCTGGCGTTAAAAGCTCTTGGAGGCCACGGCAGAAGTAGTCGTGTATTCAATCCCATGAAACTTCAGCTCCGATCTGCAATCTCTATTGCTCTAGGAGTTCATCCGGGTGTTAAGTATATGCCAAGAAAAACAACAGGGTGGTATCATGGTGGTCGAATGGCGAGCCTGGAAGCCATCTAGGTCCGCAGGCTGGATTGGGAGGGGGAGGACGAAGAAGCTTCAATGAATACCTCCATGATCTGGATGAAGAAACAGTTGATGGACAAAGAAGTCAAACTCATATTCTCAAGACGAATTAAAGATGTTCCAGTTTTCATTCCGCCGCTTTGATATAGTTCAGCGTCGCCGTGAAATGCTAATGTATAAACTGAAATTTCATTGCTGCGAGTTTCAATTTGACTGCGAAGATCCTGAGTATCTGAAAAACACGAAATTTGACTGTAGGCATCTGAAGAGCGCTAATCTAACCAAATCGGTCTTCATGGTCGGATGATGATGGTGATCGCTGACCGTGATCTTCCTTATCATTTGCCTTATTTTCTTTGGAAGAGCTGAAGCTTTGGTATTCGACAGTGCACGTATTTTTCTATATGGGTAATCTTATGATTTCAGTGACAAACAATATACTTCAGACTTTAAGACACCGACAAATAAACGCGCGATGGGTAACATCATCTTTCCGCTTTCGTACATATGCTCATGGAAATATCCGTATTACATGCATATCCGGTGTGAATGCGTATAGTGTGTCTTGTGGATCGAGGCCTGAAATTGTGACTGATTGACGAGATCGAGGCAAGTGTACCGTAAAAGATGTTTCTCCCTCATTCCAAAGTAATAGCTTATGACGTGTTCAATATCATTTACAACATCCTCTAGGGTTTTGATCTTTACCCTGGTCAATAGATGTTTGGCGTGTATTGTGTTTTCCAGCCTTTTGGCCCTTTGGGTCCCACGGGCTTGATCTATGTACTAATTTACTTTATTATCTTCAAACCAGACGTGAGTGCAAGCTACAAAATACACTCCTCTCTTCTTACCAAAGCCATTGTCATGCGTGGATATCACAGAAAATGCACAATCAAGAATGCATAGCATCAATAAATGAACGTAATTCTTCTTGCCTGTATACTTGCCCTAACCAATCAAGTCCCTATGGATATCAAGGAAATGCACAATCAAGGATGCATAGCATAAATAAATTAACGTAATTCTTCTTGCCTGTATACTTGCCTTATCCAATCAAGTCCCTATAGTTGCGATATAGTCTTTGAGTAGCTTTAATCGTTTTTCATCCGGTTCAATTATCATCATTATCATTGTTCAATGAAGATACGTATATTACGGCGCTTTGGAAAGATCTTACCAAATTCCTGAACTAAACACTAGATAGATGCCTGATGTGACTGTCAAAATAGTCCAAGTAGAGGAGCCATCACCTCTATGAGCTATGTGCCATATCTCTCACTGGCGTTCATGGACCACACAACAATCACGGCTCTTGGTAGATTGAAGAAAATCAGTTGTAGGAGAGACAACTGACCTCGATTCAACACTTCATCCAAGCAATGTGGAAAATTTATACAGTGTCGATCCGAGAAACTTCAAGGGGAGAAAGAGTACAATCGTATTCTTAGTATTCTGAGCAGTATCACAATGTAATAAGAATTCAAAAATCCGACGGGAAAATGGTTGAAAACTGCATGATGCCATGTACAACAATATAGATCAATAAGGTGATGCAATTTCCCGCATAGGAACTTCAGTTGCAGTCACAATATCAATCCTGAGATTTTCAGTTCTAAGATCTGGCCGGTTGAACTCACAGGATATCTAATTTGGAAAGCTTGAGGCATAAAATCACAATGCTCATTTCAATACATCAAATATATTGCTTCATGTAAAAGGCCGGAGAGTGTACTCCTGAAGTTTCCGGTATGGGGCACGATACCTATGGTTATTGTATAAAACATATAAAATTTACCGAACACCGTGTGTTCCTGGGGGTTAAAAATAGCAAGTTTCAGGTACCATCGCCCAGAACCTAAACTCTGTAGTAAATTTGTGGATGGAATCCAATTCGAAAATTGTTATTGTTCTCTTACCGTACTCTCCACAATTTGGAGTGAATGTGATGAGCAATGGATCAGTATATGACACGGACAATGCACCACGATATTCCAAATACAGGAGAACATAGAAGCTCCAAAAGAGTCCGTAATAAGATAGAGCAATGTCACCGGATTGATTCTCCAGCCTTCAAAATCTATGTTGTTACCGTCACCAAAGTATGGTCTCTCTTATTCTTTATGATTGACCAATAATAGTTTACATTTGTGAAAGTCATTTTTAATCTCCCCAATTACGTCTAGAGCTTCAGGAAGTTCATCAAAAGTGAAGACTTTTTCATGAGTAGGGAAGATTAATAACTTCTCTTTGTACAGATTCAAAGTTTCATTGAATAGTTTTGTCATTGCCTCCCGTGTTTCCTCCCTGTTTCCTTTGCGTATCTTCACGTAATCTGTAAGTGTCCACCACTTGACTTGAATTTTTCGCTTCAAGTCACCCAAGCTGATCTTAACGTGGTCGTCAGAATCAGTGCCTGCTGCGTTGTCAAAGATTAAAAGCTCTCCTTCATCTCTCAAGCATGCTCCCAGCTTCTGCCAAAGATAGTAAAAGAAGTCTCAGCATTCTTCTCAAGTTGCCCCGAATCTTCTTACGACCGAATTTATTCACATTGTCTAACTAATTGAAGAATGTAGTCTTACCATCGTCGTCTCAGCACCAACACCATCAATTGCAGCATGAGCTCCTCCCTCACCAGTTATTTTTTTTACTTGCTCCACAAATACTGCACAGAGAGGGAGGAAGCTTGTACTTACAAAGGTGGCCGAATTCTATCTTGGTGAAAATTTGTTAAGAGGTCCAATATGAGTCATGATTAATAAGAACAATATTCCAAAAAAGCAAAAGCTCTACTTCGCCACGGAATTTTTCTGTTGGTTTACTAGCAAAATACAGCTCTAATCAGCCAAGTACTGGTTTGAAGCAATGTCAGAGTTGTACCTTCTTTGCTGGAATTGGCGCAGATGACATGCTCCACTCCCATCTCTTTAAAGAGGCTTTTCTGCTCGTCTTTTCGCACAACAGCTATGATATTGATGTTCTTACTCTTGGAAATTCCGAGAACATGACTACAAATTATCGAACCTTCTTGTCAGGTATTGCATCATTTCACCAAAACCAAATTGCGGGACGTGCAAGAAAGGAGCAATCCTCTGTACCGCAGGAAATATTTTAGATAACTTCGTAATCTGCTTTGCATTTAGTGACTTTTCAGATAAACCAAATTGATTGGTAACTTGATAGTTTCTGTCTCTCACCGGCCAATTGTGGAGCTTGGAGCCGACAGCAATAGAAAACGGCCCTCTTGTATACCAGCAACTGCAGTATGGAAAAGACCTAAAGCTGTCCACGCAGTAATCACAAACTGAGCTGCTACTTCATCTGGCACGTAATCAGCTGATTCTTTTGAAACTTCTGGAAGTGGAAACACATTTTCCTCAGCTACATCGACATAAGATTGCCACGATCCGTTCCCTTTCTTCAGAAGGTTATCCCAAAACAAAACCGGCATCACTCTCTGATTTCGATGAAGATCACTTTTCACATCTTCCCCGATCTGTTTAACCAGTAAATGTAAAATCAATCCGATGAGATCCCACAAGACTATGATTCCGATGAGATCCCCACCTTTTCTGTAAATCTTCATACAAACAGTAAGATATTTCTGTAAAGCACACCTCTCTGCGTTTTGCCCAGTTTCAATTTCACCCACTCTTCAATATTGGTCGTCATACTTTCTAAAAGGTTATCTCAAGTCTCAAGAAAACTGGACAAACTGAGCACGACATGGAGCTAAGTAATCGACTTGGATAAGGAGAGATCAAACTAGCCAAGAATCAGAAAGTTGTTATGATCCTTATTACAAGGTCCTGACGGGATCGTAAGACGAACTGCCCAGATTTCGCATTGCAATGGGCACCGAGCTCAGGCAAGAACGACGTACCTCATGAATGAATCCAACACCCTCAGCTCCAATTGTAACGAAATCTCGACTTCTGAGCTCTTTGTACCCGCCAGTACGGATTATTTTCATATCCACATGCTGTATCGGTCGCGTCGTAAGCCGCACTCGTACATGACCCCGAGGAACGACAGAGGGCAATTGGCCGACGTAATCAAGATGTAGTCCCACATTTCTTGGAAACTTGGGAATCACACAGCAACCGGTGAGTACCTCCCTCGCATTAGTTATCTCCTCTCCTGGACTGTGATTGAACCGTATGACGGCTGGATTCTTTACGCGGTTACCATCCATTTGCAGATTATAAGATGGCACTGGAATTCTTAAGATCCTGCTCGTGAAATTTTGCTACAAACCCTGCTACAACAACATTAGGACAACGAGGAGTACTCAGCTAAAAGTCTTCCCTGTTCCAGGACAGGACAAAGAACGAAAGCCGAGATCTAAAGGCGCAAGCATCAGTCGCTTTTCCCGAGCACCATCACCTCCAAGACCAGCCAAACCGATCAAAAGGTGCCATGATCCATGAAGCCTGTGATGATCAGCAAAAGCTGGAGGGGATCACGTGCCAGATAAACTGGAACAGCTCGAGATTTTCGATCCGAGCTCGTCTGATTTCGGGGTTTCCTCCGACCATTTACGTGCATGCACCTTCTGGCACAGCACCCTTGGGTGAGCTGCAAATGGGAGCACTTTCACTACATACATACGCTTTGGCCAACATGCGTGCATCCTCGGGACGCGAGATTCAGGAAGGGTGAAAAGGGTGAAGAGGGTGGTTCAGATGACGAAATAATGCAGGATCGGTGCTGGGCATAATTCACAGATGCCAGGGCTCCTGCAATCATGAACTGGATCCTGATTGACAGACTGTCTGCTCTCCGTGAAGATTATACTCCACCCGAGGACCCATTTACTATTGAACGTTCTTCAACGAAGTGATTGTGCTGTCTTGAGGTAAATTCATGCTAATTATGAAATCTGAATCTGATGTACTCGTTCAGATGCATCTGGGAAAGAGCTCCCATCGCGACCATACTACATCGCAAGACCTGATTTCAGGTTGGGTCATGGTAAACCAGATCGGCATGACTGCGTTGAAAACATCACCATCAGCCAAAAACAATTTCGAGTTCCCCAGCTGCTCCAAGAACCTTGTTCAGACCTCCAGCATCAGGTAATGACCATCTTGTCGAACAGTGAATGGGATCTGAAACGCCTCGTAGACAGTCTGTCTGAATGTGGACTAGTCAGTGCTGTTTCATACTACATAGCACTTTTTGCAAGTGGCTGGTCTATTGTTTTACTTTTCTTTCCTTTGCTAAACTTTTTTACCTTATGCTTAGGTCTTTCACCTTTTCTTTCTTTAGTCTAATTTTGATGTACAATCATTAACTATATGCGTCTATGATGAGTCATGTTTCTGAGGCTGATTTGTGATCTCATGTACCGTCCATTTACTCCTTTGTCCATCAATAACTATGAAAGCCACAAGTGTGTGAATCTAAAATATCTTTATAAGTACACTTTTACAAATTTCACTAATAAGGGTGGAGATACAACTGATCAACGGAACTACATGTACTAAAGATTTTTAAACCACACTTTTACGGATTCCACTATCAAGGATGGAGATACAACGGATCAACAATTGCCCTAATTCCAAATACCCTAAATTCCTTATGACGCGGAGGTACTTGTTAAAACTTGTGGACACATAGTTGAAAACTTTTAGCTACAGCTTTTCTAAAGTTTGGTGTTCCTTTCTAACGCTGCCAGTTCGGCTCTAGAGAGGAGTGTTGATAAGTTATTAAAGTTGAAAGCTTTCGGACAGATGAATTTATTGCCCAAAGGAGTATATATGTGAGGGAGTATATCCAAACTTCAAAATCACAAGTGAGAAGTTGTATTTTGAGAAGGAAACGTAGATCACAAATAGAAAATTAAAGATGGGGAGTTGCTGCCAGCGTTATTTTGAAGTAATCAGAGTTGGAGTGGATATGAGGAAGAGCGATGATGAATAACCAAAAGAAGTAGTTGAATTCACAGCTAAAATTACGCGGTGTAATGTGGACATTGCAAGTTACCAGCAATCGAATTTGACGACTCAAATATTGAGAAAATTAGAGCCGATTATAAGTGGAAGTATGTCTATTTGGAGTTATGTGAGGAACTGCCAAGGAAATCACGGAACCTGATAGAATTAATTTGTGTGCATGCAGAATGGCATCAATACTTGTCGACTCAACCTCAAAGTGACACCTCACTAAGGTTCTAGCTTTCAGTTATCTGCACGTAATGGTTCAGTCCTGCCACATTCATAAGAAATTTACGTTCGAAGATGTTACACATAACACTTCAGTATTGCTGTTCAATTGACAAAGGTTCAGGCAAAAAGTTTCAGCGTAAGAAATAAAAAATAATTTGCGAGTAGTATCTCAGGCCTTGTGCTGTTCCTGCTGCCATTGCTGGTACTGCTTTCTGTCATATTCTCTTCTCTCTTTCGTGGACATTCTACTCCGCCTAGTTTCTTTCCCGGGGCGTCCAGTGGCATTGCCTTCAACCCCATCAGAGGAGTCCTCGATATACCCTGCTTGCATAACAAGATCGAATGGATCTGCCAGCAGATCTGCATCACCAGATTCCTAACAAGACCAAGAAATGGTAAAGATGAATATTCAATGAGGGCAAGAAAGACTGGGCAGGAAAACGCTTTCAGACACCGAAGACAACCGCAAGCTTCGAGAAGGAGCATTACAGTGCAAGAGTCCACCTCAGCAGTGACAACGAAGTCATTCCGCTCTAAAAGCTTAAGTACCAATGAAACAGAGGAGAAAAAGAGCTTACAGTCTTCGCATTCGGTCCTTTAGTTTCGGTTCTCCAGACACGTGGTATTCTCCTCAGCTCTCCATTTCCGAATCCCGTGTCCTGCCCTTCGGTTGAATCCACATCATTAGGTCTCCCATCACCAATTCTAGTCGCCCAATCTTTGTCGGAGGCAGGTAAGCTTGGGTCTTGCATATCGTCATATGTGCCGTACATAGTTTGAGACTTAACACGCTCTTGCTTTTCTCCCATATGCTTCTTTAGCATCGGATTGTTTGGATTACTTTCGCGTAGGCTGCACATCATGATTGTCCTCGCATTTAGCCCCTCTTATTGCAAACTTTGAACTCCCGTGCCATACTATTCTTCAGTTCTAGCGTCGGTTTGCGAGTGACAAGAAAAAAAAACAACAAGTGAAGTGCCAAATAAGTTACAAGATATTTACATGGCTATAAGCTCACCCCGCAAGGGACTGCCCTCAAGAGAAAGTATTTTCTTAGTGCATAATGCTCCAGCAAGTCGAAAACCCAAATCGTTTCCTACCACAGCAGCCGCTACATTGAGCGAAACAACGACAATAGGATCAGAATCGACATCAGATTTGTCCAGAAAGGGTGCGTGATGCAGCACAGTAATATAGAACAAAACATCTTATCCGAGACATGAAGTATAAATCCTCTATTGCTACTTCATTCGCAAAAGTAGATGTACAAAGGAAACTTCCGACATGATATCGAGGGTATATACAAAGCAGACTCTTCAATCAACAGATACTCCCAGCAAACTGCAACTTGCTTTTGAGACCAACCTTGAAATACAGCAACAAGACGTAGTGCTCAGTTGCACTTACAGGCTGTCATCAATATCCTTGGCACGAATCCCAGTCTGGTTCCACCTGTAACTGCAGAAAATCCACAAATAAGTTAGAGACAGGAATATGGAATTCACAAACACAAAGTCTATGAAGAAATGGGCTTTGCATCAAGGGTTGTTTTCTAGGTGAAAACCCATCTCCTGTCATGTTGTTTGAAGGTTGTAAAGTAAACAAAGCATCTGAAGGTACATAAGATAGACGTGAAACTTTCACTTACAGGACCAAACCAGGGCACCCGCAGCAAGCGGTGCATTCATGTAATACCACTTGGCATCTTCAAAGCACTTCCCTAGCACCTCTGACTCCTGAGGTGATGGTTTATACTGCACCAATACATCATGGCCAAGATCAGCTTGCGAAAATATAATCAATTTTTCTGCACGGTCGCCATAACACTTAGTCTCTCCTCCTACTACTACCGGAACTGGCCATATAAAGTAAGGCAGTTCGTATCCAATGTATATCACAGTATATTTATACTGTGATATACATTTCCTGGATATCGGGCAAAACAGTCATAACCCATCGGAACAGACTGCAGGTTGAATCGTCGCAGAATGGGCATGGATATTACAATGCAACCTCCGGAATGTATCTACCGTGAACTCTCTGTTTTCGGAGTGTAACAGTAGGTACTGAAATGTCGCATCAGTCGAATTTCCCCAAGATACCACAGAATACATCTGCACTGAAGTTCTCCAATGTGGTTCTTCCTTCTCCTAAAACTGAACTCCAAAGGACGATCTTTGGCAGGATGTTGGCATTTCCTGCAACTTTATTTTAGCTAGTCTCTCTTGCCTTCTCAACATCCCTCAGCATCCAGGACAAGAGATGATACAAGCGATGAGGCATAAGATGTGCTGTCTTCAGGCAGTTTCGAGAAACTGTCTGATAAGCTAAAAAAATTAAATTAAACCTCAACGTAAATGTATGGCTACCCATTCCAGCTCAAATCTGTTGGTTAGAGAATAATTGCAGCACTGTCCATCTCCCTCTCCTTCACCTAGCAGGATCTTCACTCAGCTTGTTTCTTACAGATTTTTACATTTGTAGAGAAGCATTTGTACAGACGGATCTGCAAGAATTTAGCTACTTGAGCACTCGTGATTATAATAGCTATTATAATACACTACCAAGTACGTCGAGTTTCTTTCTTGCCAGATCATGAAGACGAGGCAGTCTCGAATCAAAATTCAGTAATTAAAGCCCTACAAAACCCCAAAAACCTACATTACGAGAAGACTATTTGCAATAAACTAGTTCTCCTCACAACCTAGAAGAAAAAGCTTTGCTGCGATCAGCTTGCTACGCCACAAGCAGACTAGGCCAAAGCTTGCATCGCAACGACAGGATGAGCTGACTCGAGAAGTCACAGTAATCACATTAATTACGGCTCACTACATTCATCAGCTCGCGCAAACTCATCCCATTCAAATTTCTCACTCAAATCGGGGTCACGTGCATTTTTATTGACTCTTAAACTCTCATGCACCAATTCACATGACAGGTCCGCAATCATTCGTCTTTGAATCGGAAAGAGTGAAACAGAGTAAAAATCGGCCCACCTTCTTCACCTGCATCCGCCAGGCCAATTTCGCCAGTGGATTCCTTTCCGCGGGATCCATCCGAACTTTTGGAGCCTCTTCGTCCGCCATAGCTAATTCCCAGAAATCCCCCTTATTCAATCCGATGCATCAGTGTCTGACAGTAACTCGCAGCCCGAATTCCTCGACGATGCCTCGACCCGAGAACATTCGCTGCCTGACGAGCAGTAAAGATAGTGGCGGGGGAGGGGCAGCGCGAAGGTTTTCGCTCCGGCAAATACGGATCAGAGGAGAATTCGGGTGCACTCTTCGACGACCATCTTTCGCACAACCCGGTCGCCAAAATAAGGGAGAAGAGTCTTGTCCCTTATTTTGGCGATTTGGAGAACCTCTTGTCACAAGAGGTTCTCCAAATCTTCATCTGCATGGACAGATTCACGACAGTAGAGGGGCTCCAAAACCCTAGACAGTCATAGTGCAGTCTTACCACATCCACACGTCACAATTCCTCGTATACTCTTAATAACCAGATTTCGAGTGTCGGATCGAAGAGGCAGAGGATGTCTGAAAGAAGAGCAAGTGACATTTTGTGTCCATTGAAGTATATCACATCGATAAAGGTATTACGAATATGCCAACTACTTGATTCTAACTGATAAGAATTACAATGCAATCATTAATGGGCTACTTATGATAAGCAATTTCAAATGTGTTTGAAAGTCTAATTTTTCACAATGTGCAAACAGTTCAAGCACAAGCATTCATTCTTCTTCTCAAATATATGCCATAGAGACTCACCTGGTACGATACAAGGATATCGTCGAAATTATTTACACATCACTGATGTGACATCAGTGATCTGATTTATTCGTTCTTAGATAAAGATAAGTTTGTTCCTTGAATGAGTCCATTGTACGACCTCATTGAACTTCGCTTTAGAGTCTCACTAAAATATGTTTGATGCACTTTGAATCGTTACTTCTTTGATCTTCGTCGCCAGATAGATCAATAAATTGCGTCGAAGTCAAACTTTGAGAAAAGCATAACCAAATAAATTAGAGAAATCAATTTCGTTCCTTTTCCCGCTTTCTCGTTATTATGTCTAACCCAAGGGCATAGTAACGTTAGTTAGATATATACAACGTTGCAGGTTTGAGGAATACCCACGTCTCTAGACCCACCCTAAACAAGGTGTTAATCATGTTCAATCTTGGAAAAAAAGGAAGATAATTATGCTGGAAAACTGAACATAATTCAGCGACTGAATAAGTGCATCATACGATTTATTGCCCCTTTTTTAGCTTTTTTTCGAACAGCCCAAAGAGACGCACGACAAAAATGTGGATATAGCGGTGGAGTTATCACTTCACCTTATGAGAAGTTTTTGCTAGTTTTAGTTTGATGACATTTTTTGAATGAAGATCTCGAATTTCGAATGACTGGATTTATTCTTCTCTACAATCTCCAACTTTTCCATGCTTGTTGACAGCAGAAACTATCAAACCGGGTTGACAAGCAAGAAGCGACTCCGCTTTCACACTCCTTTAAAAAATTCTGGTGTATATTGTATATAAATGATAAAATATTTCATCCTATTTCAGTACTGTAGTTCAATTGTACTTAACTTAGCTCCATAAAACTGTGGCTATGCAAACAGAGGTAGAAATCTTGATTAGAAGGAATTTAACAAGGAATAAATCAGAAGGCTGATTGTATACGACTTATATTTGTTTGATAATATTGTTGTTTTCAGATGATTGAAATATTCTCTTTATTTTAAACATATCACATTGTGTATGTAGAGCTCAGGTTTGGTTATAACTTTTCAGAAACTGAAAAGATAGCTTACTGCCGCCATAATACGGACAAGAAGAAGATTTTACACGCTTAGATCCGTTTTTCAGAGAAATCGGCCCACTTTCTTCTCGAGCATAAAGAAGCAGAAAAAATTTCAATGGCATATAAATTTAGAACAATTTTCGAAGATTTTGTAAGTCTCAGACGAATAAGGGCATTATAAGGACACACCGTCAAAAGTATATGGTACCTAGGTGACTATCATCTTTGGGGGGATTAAGTATATACTACGAGGAGATAGCTCGCCGCATAAACTCCGAGATTTATAAAGTGTGAAGTTGTTCAATTTATTGAATTACTGCTGCTGTAGTTTACATTAATCAGTCCCACCGACGGATTGAAGCTACCGGCTGTAATAATCAAGATCAAGATTGAAAGCATCTGATTTTCTGCATGATGTGAGTGAAATCATCGACATCGAAATTTAGCCAAGCATACGAAATTACAATGTAGCGAACATACAAGCTTCATACAGGTGCGATCAGACTTATCTGCATCATGTGAAGTAAACCTGGGCCATCAGGTGAGAAAACCGAATCAGTACTCAAGAAAGGCTTACCAGCATCAGAGGTGAACCTATACAAAATAGTGATTCAACTTCAAATTTCACCCACAAGCCAACATAAGCCCGTATATTTAAACACTGGCACCACGCTCCGCGTATTTTAATTCACCTCAGATGGAAGCACTATTTTTTATCTGTCTTGCATCCTCCATTAATTGCGAAGGTGACATTTGAGTTGGTGGCACAGATCGCTCCTCTTTGGAAGGAGAAACTGATCTTCGGGAAACAGGAAATGAAGTTGCCGCTCCAAAATTATATAGATTGAACAGAACCTGCAGGAGATTGTTACCAAAGACCCGTAACGAAAGATGTTAAGGACTTTGCTGCCTGTAACTGGAACAACATCATCGTGGGTGACCAACGCAAATCATGACTAAAGAGAGGATAAGGGCAAATTACAAACAGTGTGAATTACAGAACTTGGAACAAACCAGATAGCCCTCGGTCAAGTAAATGTGCACCTGCATAAAAAATGAAGCATCTCATTGACTTTTTAGTTACAACTGAACTTCGGCTCGGGATTAAAAATCTCGTACCGAATGACTGAGCTCTAAGCTCTGCCTAAGGATACTGCCATGCCATTTGTTCTAAGAACACGGTACTTCCATCAGTAACCAATCAGACGAGCACCTGGTAGCAGTTGATCACAAAGCAAACAACTGTTTTCATTTTGACAAAAGCATCAGTAAGCAACACAGTCTGTCACTCGACCCCATTTATTTATTACAGATAACAGCATTGCTTTCAGCGATTCAGTTTAAAAGCCAATTCAATTAGTGGAGAAGAGAATGCAGCGAAACGAACAGCTCGACGTTTTGAATCTTATTCAAACCGTCTATCTAAAGCTGTCATGATTGCACCGTAATCTGCTGCGATTACTACTTGGATTTTGTGGACTGCGACCAATCTACAAGCTTCTCAGCTGCTGCAGCCCTTCTACGGCCAAAGAGATATCATGCTCTGAGACAGGCAAGACTTTCAGCCATATTTCATGTGATGTCTGGGATCACGTAAATTGGGATTGGATATTCTGTTGTCTACACTGACTTGACGCTAGAATTATTTACAAATGCAGCTCGGGAGTACCCACAATTTTTCGAGGAGCACGTTCCGAGTACTCCACAATTGCTGAGGGGGGCAAATGCCGTGTAGCTATTGCGTGTACAGTTGAAAATAGAGGAAAAGACTCCTCCCAATCTTTAGCCTTCAAGAGACCAAATACTTCCTTCGCCGTTAATACTCCCTGTACAACAAAGTCCCCATGTCTTCATAAGCGTATGACCAGGTGAGACTTAACACTGAAGTCTGCATACATCTCAATTTACATGTCAGAATAAACCTCGTATTTGTCCACTTTTGCATGTAACTCCTGTGATTTTACTTATGATTTTTCATTCGTTTCTGTGTGTCATATACAATCACTTTGTTTCATAGAAGAAATCAAACAATTGTCAGCGTTCGAATGGCAGATGATGTGTACCTGTAGCTTTTGGCCATTCAGCAACTCTACTTCCAGCTCGTCAAAAGATCTGTCACCAACATTTTCTGATCAAATTAACAAACAGCTTCACCTCATAAAACATCTGCACGGTTGACGTTCGCTAGGAATGAATAATTGTTGGATAACAGGACCTCCACGTCACGCAATTGTAGCTTACCGCTTTCCCCCATGTTTTGAAAAAGCATCGGCAACCTTTCTGTTGCGGCCCCCAACTGCAACATAGAAGAGGTTTCCGATATCAGATTACACAGCAGGAACGTTAATGCAAAGAGACATATATCTCAAAATGAAAAAATAATGATGGTATGAAATAGAGCAAATTTAGTAATAGAAATAATATGCAACGGTCGGAGTGGAGACTTTACGGCAAGTGGTGATTAGATCTGCGATTCCACAACTTTCGAAGAATGTGGCATCTTGTACGGATGGAAATAAGAGCTTGGAAAACAGGATCATCTCCTTCAGCCCAATGCGCATGATAGCAGCCTGAAAGAAAGTGTTACGTATCTGAGCAATCAGCTTTATGTTTATACTGTCGCTTATCTTCCGTCCAACCTCATCGTATCCAGAGTAAGGAGGTACAAGCAGAATCTCATAATAAATATTCTGGTAGAAGCTACTCCATCAGAGTAAGCAACCACAGTCCCAAAGAAACTTCGAATTTCAAATCTTTTTCATGACAATAATTGCGACAAAGGAGAAAACAGAATATCAATTTGAGAAAGACAGAAATGTATCACAGGTTTAGGAGTTATTTGTTACAATACCTTGGTGTTGTTCCCCATGCCGAGACCGTCCACCAAACCTGCTCATCCAAGCAAAATCCGTTATAAGAATTGGTGCACTACTCGAGACTTTTACCACCATGATAGTGTCTTAGTTTAAAACATACACAGAGTTAACATGCTGGGGAATTTTTTCAGTCCCAGCACTCCCGAGCAGATATAAGTAAGTGCTCAGCTCTGTCCTACATTGAGGCCTTCACATAATTCAAGCTTGAAAGAGCCAGATACCAGCAGCAATTGCGACTATGTTCTTCAAGGTCCCGCACAGCTCGACCCCTTCCACATCTTGGACCTGCGAAGTTGTCATAGTTTATCGTAACATTAAGTGCAGAATCAAATGGGTGTGCCCTGCAAATACAAACGTTACTAATTCAGTGAAACTTAATGCCACAAATGTCCTCGCTGAGCAAGACTTACATGAGTGACTTGAAAGTAGGGTGTTCCAAACACTTGAACCCATTTATCCGCAGTTTCCTTATCGTCTCTGTAGCCAACAGTTGCCTCGCTAAATTGTTCGACAGCTATCTGTATGCCAAACAGGTACACAAAATCAGTCTAACGACAATGAGTCTTCAATTGACATGAAATCGCCAAACTGATGTGATTCAGAACTGACATATCCTAGAACGGTGAGATGGCCTGGAAGTATGAATAACCTACCTCATTTGCTATGTTGGCACCCATCAGTACAGAACAGTCTATCCCTAATTGCTCACTGATCTCCCTGGAGATTAGGCGCGGGCCATCGTCGCCCATCTGCATTTGGAAAAAGGTAAGGCCAACTCGTCTCACCAGCGTAGCATGAAAACTTACAGCAGAAAAAGACCGTGCAACCTTGAGATTGTAGAGGTCAATTTTCTTACTTCCATGCCTTTGATGAGAGATATGGCTTTTGCGTCGGGTCGAATCTTTCCCTTCAACTTCTGACAAATGCCCTCGATAAATTGATGAGGCATGACAAATACCAGCATGGTAGCATTCTTCACTGGCGGCATCAACCACAAACACCATATACACTGTCAACACCGGAGTAAAATGCATACGGTTGCCAGCTTCCAGGTGATTGCAGCAACCTACGATATCTTGTGCAGTGGGTCGGTAAGAAAATTTACCAGCTGTCTCCAGATTAGGATCTGCCACAACATTGGGCCCCAGCTTTACATTGGGTAAATACTTCACATTTTCCTGGCCAGAAAAGAACAGATGGCATGGATTCAGCAACAGGCAGGTTTGTTGGTCTGTATTGAGATAAGGTCCAGACAGTTGCCGAACCGATATAGGGCACATCGATATGCAGCTGAATCGGGAGACAAGATGACACCTGAGTTTTGTTTATAACGTCGCTCAGTAATTCTCCATTGCTGAGTTTCTCCTCGTAAACCCAAACTCGCACTTCATCTGCCAAATTACCGGCGAGCCCAATCAGTCCTTTATCAACATTGCACAAACGAAGATTCCTCCAGAGCAAGCGAAGGTTTGGAGCTAGCTGGTGAAGAGAATAGAGCCTCTCCAACTTGACAGATCTTGATACCAGAAAAGAACGGAGAATGAAACATCAAAAGTCCAATTTGGACTGTAGTTGACAATTCGAGAACTTGGAACATGCGGCACTCAGCTCGAGCAGGCATTGTCATCATGAACATTCCTTTTTACTCTGCGACCCAGGCAATGCAAATGTTTCTTGACCATGCAATTCAATTCACACTAGAATCAACATTTCGCTGGCCTGGAGTGGCCAATTTGAATAAAACCAGACCTTGGAAGTAAGGGAGACGGCGAGCATTGGTCGCAGCAAGGCGAGCCGCCACGCTCCCCCAATTACCGCTTCCAATCACGGCCACGCGATCGGGCTCCGCCTCATAGGAATTCAAGAGACCTCCATCGCGGGTGCCCGACCCCACATCCAACCCCGGCGCCATATCCCAAGCTGCAGTGTGAAACGAAACAGGTAAGAAGTGCTTTCGCAGAGCAAGCAGCACAGCGGACGACGAGGGCGACGACGACGATGACGATGAAGCAGAAGAGGAGAAGGAGGAAGAAGAAGGCGAGCCTGGACAGACCAGAACGGTCTGCTGCTGCAGTTGCTGCGCCTGGGCGTTCTTGGCCCCTGCCACCACCGATCCTCCCCGAGCCCCCTCTCGTCCTCTCGGCCATAAAGCAGGCGCTCCACGGCATAGCGTTCGAGCGAACGCACGAGGGCCCCTCATGGCGCGGCGTTCAAAGGCTGTCTATTGTCCAGAAGTGAACGATCGGTCCGCCCCTGCTGTCCTGTCGAGACTCGAGTTCGCCGATCAATTCGAGATCTCTCTTCCTCCGCCGTCTTCTTCTTCTTCCTCCCTCTTCTCCTCCTCCTCCTCCTTTTCCTCTCTCGTCCCTCGCCCCTCGCCCCCGCCTTCCTCTCTCTCCCTCTCTCTGCCCCGTCTCTCGCTCGCTCTCTGTCGTGTGCAGGCATTCAGGCAGGCAGAGGCAGGCAGGCATTCAGGCAGGCAGCAGTCGCTCTACCCCGCCCCGTCGTCCGCCCGCGCAGGTGCCAACCTCGGCCTCCACCACGTGTACTCGCAGCTTCGTCCCGGCGCATCGCCATCGACGGCGCAGCCCCATTCTCCGTAAGGGCCCCGAGGCCCGGCCCTGCGATTAAGGGCCGACGATCCTTCCACCTTCTTAAAACGCTCCGACATGTCCCACGGCCTCGTCCCCTTTCGGGGCCGCTGCGCGTCTTGCACAACTTATGACTGTCAGTGCCCTCCGCTCTCCCCGTTCTCGCCCAGTCAGCATGCTCTCTGCTGCGGCCAACTGGACCTTGGCCACGGTCCAGTTGGCCGGCTTCGAATCTTGCCGCTTTTTACTGGATCTCTGCTTGCCGTGAATCTACAACTTACCGATCGCCGATCGGTAAATTGTAAACTTCCAGTGCCGATCGCCGATCGGCACTGGAAGTTTCCTCTCTTCGCCGTTTCTTATTTTTACTCCTAGCTATCGTCGGAGAAATCTACCAACTTTAACTAGAAGGTGAAAAGTAGTTACCTTAAGCCAGGTGGATGAATTCTAACTCCTGTGGCGCGTGGACGCCTACGGGTCCCGGCTTGCGTGGCGGAAATATGCGGATAGGCAACTCAGCAGTCATCAGTGCTTGCAGCTGGGCTAGGCTGCGCTGAGCTGACCCACTAACGAAGGTCCGGCGACCCGTCGACCGGCTAGCACGGTTCTACCGGCACTGGAATACTGTAGTCGCACTTCTGCTGACAGTAGTAATTCTAGAATGAGAACGAGAGCGAGGGAGAGAGCCTGTCGACAAAATTCATCCTTTGGTATCCAGATCTGATAATCGGACGAGCAGCTGACCGGCTCGTGTGTTCGTTCAATATGCTCAAATTTGGGCTTAAGTGCTACAAATTCCTTCACGATCCCGACCCTGGACCTCAAGTGCGCTACGGGAATCATTGCTTTGGTTTATTGACACCTGGAGAGGCTGAGCTCGTTTGTCCAATCCCTCGATTTGCTTGAATTCCGTGCTTCGCAATGCGTGGGTCTGCGCTCGGGCTCAAAGCGGCCATCTATCGCCACAGTATGGGGCTCGAAGAGATCCTCGGACTGATCGTCGGACACGAGGGTGCCCAGATTCAGAACATCGCGCTCGGATGCTTTGCTCCACGGACCTACTTTCAAACCTCCTGATTCAGGTTGTGCCGTTCGGGATGCTACATGGAAACCCCAAAAAAGGCTTGAACATCGTACCTTTTTTTCCGTGAAACATCAAGAATTGAAATGTTGACCTCGTCATTGTTTTTACTCTAAATCTGTTTATGAGTTTTCATTATGTGGTGCAAAGACGAAGATGAGGGTGTGGACGAGGACGTGTCAAACCACGGTGGCTGTGGTATGCGCCAACTTGAGTGATGGTTCAGTGTGGGTACCATGATGCCCGTGGGATCGACATTCACCACACGTGGTTGTGATGAGGCAGATCTTGAAGGTGGAGTCAAGGATGATCTCCTGGCATGGTTCCTGCAGCTCCAGCAGAATTGATTTTGCAGAAGGGTTTTGTTATAAGGTCAGTCTCAAGGCTTCATCAATACAGTACAGTCTCGAGTACAGGATTTTGCAGATGAGTTCAACCGTTGGATCATACCAGGCGATTGCTTGCGCAGGAAGCTATCAACAGTTATGTTTTGTGTAGTTTTTTTGTATAAATAGAGGAGAATGAAGGTAGGGATAAATGTAACTTCATTCTCATTTTCAATTTTAGAACAAACACTTTTGAGAGACAAATTGTAAGGGAAACACAATTTGGGGAAAAGTGAGTACGAGTGTGTAATCTAAGAAACCTAATAGTGATTTGATCTTCGTTGCTAGATGTAGGCACATTGCCGAACCAGGGTATATCGTGTGTTCACTGTTATTCCGCATTTTGATTTGATTGCGTGTTAGATCTTGGTTAGCTTATTGGTCAAGTTACGTCTGTGTTCTTGATTCATTATCGAGGTTTTCACTACAATTGGTATCAGAGCCATCACCATCAAATCTGTTTTGAACACGATGGGTCTCGCGAAGATGGAAATTGAACGCTTCAATGGCAAAGGAGATTTTGCTTTGTGGCGTCAGAGAATGAAGGCAATTCTTGTTCAGATGAAAATCTCCAAGGCGATCGATCTTGAAACCAAACACGCTGAATCAGTCACGGCTGAAGACAAGGCATAGATGAACGAGCTTGCATACAGCACGATCGTCCTATATCTTGGAGACAAAGTTTTGCGAGAAGTCGCCAATGAGAAGACTGCCATTGGCGTGTGGGCGAAGCTTCAGAGCCTATACATGAAGAAATCCCTATCGAGAAGGATCTATCTCAAGGGAATACTTTTTGGATTCAAGATCCAAGAAGACAAGCCGATTGAAGACTATCTTGACGAATTCAATCGGATCGTCATTGATCTCGTCAATATCGGTGTCGATACTCCCGATGAAGACCAAGCGATCTTGATTCTAAACGCTTTCCCTCCTTCATATGCAAATTTCGTCGATGCTATGTAATATGGGCGATCCTCAATCACCACAGAGGATGTTCAGTTGGCATTGAAATCGAAGGCTCTTCAATCCAGAGGCGAGAAGAAATCTGCACCTGAAGGTCTTCTTGTTCGCGCTCAACCAGACAAGAAGTCATCTAAGAAGAAGAAAGGGAAGCCGAAGCCTGAAGATCAAGAGAGGCCCTTCGCGTACAAGTGCTACAATTGTCACAAGGAGGGACATATGAAGAAGGATTGCCCTGAACTGAAGAAGGATCCAGGTGCCTCTACTTCAAAGACTGGAAAAACCGCCGTTGCTGAGAATGACGGCTACGACAGTTTTGAAGCCCTAATGGTCACCACAGATCGACCCAGTCCGAGTGGATTCTTGACAGTGGGTGTTCTTTCCACATGACACCCAACAAGGAGTGGCTTGAGAACTACGCTGACTAAGATGGGATGGTTCTTCTTGGCAATGATAAACACTGTCCAGTAATTGGCACTGGTTCCGTGTCTCTCAAGAATCATCTGGGCAAGGTCAAGATCCTTCAAAATGTCAGGTACATTCCTGAACTGAAAAGAAATTTGATTTCTCTTGGAGTTTTGGAACAGGCAGGGTACAAGTTTGCAAGTGAAAATGGGATCTTGACTGTGTCCAAAAATGAAAGACCTGTACTGCAAGGTGTTCGACGAAATGGCTTGTACTTCCTCACTACACAAACAATAACTGGCCATACTGCTGTTGCTTCAAGAGATGTGAATTCGAGGTTGTGGCATCTAAGGCTGGGTCTTGTCAGTGAAAGAGGTATGGCAGAACTGGCTAAGCAAGGATTCCTTGGTGATGAAAGGATCACTACCTTGGATTTCTATGAAGAATGCATCTATGGCAAGGCTATTTTGGACATAGTCCAAAATAGCCTCTGATCTATGAATTCCCTTGCAAAGTTTGGCAAGGGAATTCATAGATCAGAGGCTATTTTGGACTATGTCCATACTGATCTCTGGGGTCCAGCAAAAGTGCCTTCTCATGGTGGCAGTAGGTATTATATGAGCATAGTGGATGACTACTCAAGAAGACTATGGGTCTATCTGCTCAAACAAAAGAGTGAGGCTTTGGATTCTTTCAAGACCTGGTTGAGACTCAGACTGGAAAGAAAGTGAAGAAGCTAAGGTCTGATAATGGCTTAGAATTTTGCTCATAACAATTTGATAGCTTCTGCAGATTGAGTGGCATTCAAAGGCATTATACAGTTGCCAACACTCCTCAACAGAATGATCTTGCAGAGAGATTTAACAGTACTATCATGGAGAGGGTGAGATGTCTTCTGATACACGCCAAGCTTCCAAAGGCTTTCTGGGCAGAAGCTGTCAAGACTGCAGCTTACCTAATCAATAGGTGTCCTTCTACAGCCATTAAGTTGAAGACTCCTATGCAGATGTGGTCTAACCATGAAACAGACTATAGCAAACTCAAGGTCTTTGGGTGTACTGCTTATGTGCACACCAAGCAAGGGAAGCTTGACCCTAGAGACTTGAAATGTGTTTTCATAGGCTATCCAGATGGGGTAAAGGGGTACAAGCTATGGTGTCTTGAAACTGGGCACAGAAAGTTCATCATCAGTAGAGATGTGACTTTCAGGGAAGATGATTTCTGTAATAGAAAAAACCCCTGGAGATCTTGACAGCCTTGTAGAGGAAGATGAAGCAAGCTCAGAGCACACTGCTCAGGTGGAAATCTCTATTGATACTGCCACCCTACCTGTCAATGATCATGCTGAAGAAGCTATTGAAGATCATCTACAACACCCTGAGGGAGCTAAGGTGGACCAGCATGATGAAGCTGTAGATCAATCTCAAGATGTTGAAGCTCAACTTGATGAAATTGAAGATCAGGTGAATGATAAGAGTGCAAGCAATCCATCTGACTACAACCTTGTGACAGATAGAGCAAGAAGGACTCACAAACCAACTTAGAATTTCGGTTATGACCTCACAGCCTTTGCCTTGTTGGTTGGGTCAGAGCTGCTTGAAGATGAACCAATAACTTTCAAGCAAGCTTGTCTCAGTGAAAAGAGAGATCAGTGGCGATCAGCTATGTTAGAGGAGCTAAAGTCTTTGAAAGAGAATGAAACCTGGACTATTGTTGATAAACCAGCAAGCAAGAAGATTGTTGGCTCAAGATGGATATTCAAACTCAAGGAGGGGATTCCTGGAGTTGAAAAGCAACGTTATAAAGCCAAGCTTGTGGCAAAAGGTTTTTCACAGCAGGAAGGTATTGATTACAACGAAATCTACTCGCCGGTGGTCAAACACAGGTCAATCCGTATCATTCTCTCTATGGTTGTCAATTTTTATTTAGAATTGGAACAAATGGATGTTAAAACTGCTTTCTTGTATGGAGATCTGGATGAGACTATCTATGTGCAACAGCCTGAAGGTTTTGAGGTTGGAGACAAAACTGAGAAAGTTTGTTTGTTGCATAAGTCTCTCTACGGCCTCAAACAGTCAACTCGATAATGGTACCTCAAATTTGACACTTTCATGACTCAAAATGGTTTTGTGAGAAGCCAGTATGATTGGTGCGTGTACTTCAAGGATCTCAAGGCTGCTGGTTTCTCATCTATCTACTCTTGTATGTGGATGATATGTTGATTGTGAACAAGGAACAGTCAGAGATTCAGAAACTGAAAACTCTCCTCAGTAAACGTTTCCAGATGAAGGATCTTGGCCCTGCTAAGGTGATCCTAGGAATGGAAATTGAGAGAAACAGGACTCAACGGAGGCTTGGGCTTTTTCAGAAGAGATATCTTACCAAAGTGCTAGAAAGGTTTGATATGAGTGAAGCCAAGCCAATGAACACTCCCATAGCTCATCACTTCAAGCTATCAGTGAGTCAATGCTCTGAAACTGATGAAGACAAAAGGTACATGCTCACTGTACCTTATGCCAGCGCAGTAGTGAGCCTGATGTACTCCATGATATGTTCAAGACCAGACATAGGATATGCTATAAGTCTTGTCAACAGATTTATGAGCAATCTTGGAAAGGCTCACTGGCAAGCTGTGAAATGGGTGCTGAGATACATTAGAGGGTCACATGATACTGGCATTATCTATGGTTGCAACAACAGATCCTCAGAATTTTAGGTGGAGGGTTTTGTAGACTCAGACTATGCCGGGAGTCTGGACACCAGAAGATCTCTCACAGGATATTTGTTTACCATTGGAGGTGGTGTGATAAGTTGGAAGGGTAATCTCCAGCCAGTGGTCACTCTATCAACTACTGAAGCTGAGTATATTGCTGTCACAGAGGCAGTGAAGGAAGCAATCTGGCTGAAGAGTCTTGTAACTGAGCTTGGATTCAATCAGAAGCAAGTTACAATTCACTGTGACAATCAGTCAGCTATTCACTTGTCAAAGCATCAAGTGTTTCACGAGAAGTCAAAACACATTGACATCAAGATGCACTTTGTGAGGGACATCATCAACTCAGGTGGAGTAAGCATAGAGAAGATCAGCACTGAGGATAATCCATCGGACATGCTCACGAAGTCAGTTCCAGGACACAAGTTCGCTCATTGTCTAGGGCTGATAAACATGAGGAAGAAGATGAAGGAGACTTGTCCTTAGGGATCAGGAGAAGAAGATCACTTCACTAGATGAAGGTGTGTTCGACTAAGGTGGAGAATTGTTATAAGGTTAGTCTCAAGGCTTCATCAATAGGCTCGAGTACAGGATTCTGCAGATGAGTTCAACCATTGGATCATACCAGGCGATTGCTTGCGCAGGAAGCTATCAACGGCTGAGATCAACAGTTATGTTTTGTGTAGTTTTTCTGTATAAATAGAGGAGAATGAAGGTAGGGATAAATGTAACTTCATTCTCATTTTCAATTTTAGAACAAACACTTTTGAGAGACAAATTGTAAGGGAAACACAATTTGGGGAAAAGTGAGGACGATAGTGTAATCTGAGAAACCTAATAGTGCTTTGATCTTCGTTGCTGGATGAAGGCACATTGCCGAACCAGGGTATATCGTGTGTTCACTGTTATTCCGCATTTTGATTTGATTGCGTGTTAGATCCTGGTTAGCGTATTGGTCAAGTTACATATGTGTTCTTGATTCATTACCGAGGTTTTCACTACAGGTTTTAATTACTGCTCAATAGAAGGTTACATTAATCTCTGAAGCATCAGAATACATAGTGGCGAACAAAGCAGATAGATCGTACTGGATACAAATAGCAGATCGCGGACACAGATGAAGTACGTGAAGATGAAGGAACCCTTTGAGCACAGCTGTTGGAAAAACTGGCGACAGGCCAACAGAAAGACGAGTAAAAAAGACTCCTTCGTAAGGAAGATCCAGTCACTCATTCACGTGTTCGGATAGCTGTCAGTCATATTCAGCTATTTGTTTGTCCAAGAAAAAGATTTGAGATCACAACCTCAACGATGAAAAGCAGAATGCTCAACTCGTGCGCAATACAAGCTTGAGGCCCACATGCGTCCCATTAAAAAAAATACGGCCACTTTTTGTCAGAGAAGCCGCCTTTTCAGAGGAGCCACAGGAGTGTCAGAGAGAGAGAGAGAGATTGCAAATCTCGAGAGCTGAGGCAAATGTTCAGACAGCCAATGTTCATGGAGTTCAGACTAGTTTTCCCTTCAACAAAAGTTGCTTCGCTATCCACCTTCGGTCTGTTATTGTACACACAGAAGTAAAGCCATTCACGGTCTGGGTTTCTCGAGAGGCGGGTCGGCCACAGAGAAACCCACACCGGCTGCAGTGCAACCCAACCTTCAGCATGGATGGCATGTATGAAGGTTGAATTGGACATATGTAAGTAAGGAGGTGGTATAGACTAGCTACAATCTCAGAACCAATTATTCCGAGGAACTTGCCTACCCTACTTGTAATCTTAAGTCGGTCTAACGGATAATGATGATGACGATGATGATGATGTGAACTAAGATTGAAGATGAAAAAGCCAAAACTGCTCGTTCATTCGATCGGCGCACTACTTTGGTATGACTTCGGTTGGCACTGTGAATCCACCACTGTATTGAAACTGAGTTTCCTTGCCCAGGAAAACCTCGTCGTTGTAAGGATCTTTCAGCGGCCTTCCGTCTGGTCCTGTCAACATCACGGACGATGAGAAACTGTGGCCTCCGATCCTTTCCAGGTCCTTCACGACTTCATTCATAGTCGGTCTATCTTTGGCAGCCTCCTCCACGCACTGGAGCGCCAGCCTTAGAAAGTCTTCGAGCTCCGTCGATGGAGCCTCGTTGATGAATCGGTCCAACATGGGGCGCAGAGCTGCGATTCCGCCCTTGTCCAAAGCAGTTCTCACTTCGCGGACGATGTACTTGCCTTTCTCGATCGGAGCTCGGGCCGTCAAGAGCTCCAGCAACACCACCCCGAAGCTGTACACGTCGCTCTTCTCCGACAGCCTCTGGGTCATGTAGTACTCCGGATCCAAGTAACCCTGCGATCCAGTCCAAACATTGTACAACCCCGTTGTTACTTTCTAATGGATTGCTGTGAGTGTGGGCAAAAATGCAGATCAGAGATGATATATAAGCTGAGATCGATACATAAATTCACGATAATGTGATTCACCCATCTTACCAAGGTGCCCTTCACTTGAGTGGAAACGTGGGCCTTGCCGGCACCATCATCTGGTGCTAATTTTGACAGACCGAAATCTGCCACCTTGGCCGTCATCTTGTCGTCCAGTAGAATATTGGTGGATTTGATATCCCTATGAATGATGGGAGGATTGGCGAGCTCGTGAAGGTAAGATAGCCCCTTGGCCGAACCAAGAGCTATGTTGAGTCTAGCTTGCCACGAGAGATGATCTCCCACGTTTCCTGTTACATACACAATAATCAGAGTTCGTTAGTTTGTGCTCAGGATGTGACGTGATCCTCGAAAACACACAACCGGCTTCTCAGTTCAGCATACCCGTCTCTACCACTTTCTGCTCGTTCTTTGCGATATCATGGTAGTGGGCCACAGCCCAGGGGTATTTTGAGAAACACCATCTTCTGGGATGAGCTTCTAATCAAACAGGAGCTTTTTATGATCTTGATGGGATCCACAGATTTTCTATGACAGACTTGGAGTTTAGTCTAGCACCTTCGGGGCTTCTCTGTAGGTGAACAATGTATATTGGGAGTTTTCAGTCCCACTTACCGAGTAGATGGTCCCGAAGAGTTCCATACGACATGAACTCGTACACCAGCATTTGCTCTCCGTGCTCGTAGCAGAAACCAACAAGGCCTACGAGATTTCTGTGGTGCACACGAGAGAGAAGTTCTATCTCGTTCTTGAACTCCGTAGCTCCTTGCATTGAGCCTTCTTGCGCTCTCTTGACTGCTACGACCTCTCCTGAGGCAAGCAAAGCTTTGTATACCTGATAAAGCCAAGAATATATTCGAGATCATCAACACCCCAAAGATCACAACCTAGACAGGTAAAAGAAGTCTGGTGCTGATTTCAAGGTTTCACAAAGCTCCCAAAGACTGACAAAGGTTCTTCAGTATTATACCTTGCCATAACCACCAACACCGATTTGACTGCTCGCACTGAAATTGTTCGTTGCCTTCTTCAACTCGTTAACAGAGAACCATCTGGCACCCTTCAACTGAGGAGCGGCCCCATTGTCCGAACCTCCTCCATTGCCCCATGAAGCTGAATTCAGATGGCATCACGATATAAAAAATTGAGCACAATTTTTCACAACAATCTCTGACTTTTGTGAACTATAAGTCAACGTCAGCGCAACAGCTTCCAGCAACTTGAGTCGAGACGGCTGTTTTACTGGTCTCACAGTACTAAGAAAGAAAAGACTGGTCTGAAGTCGCTTATCAGAATTGAAAGCGAATTATTCAATGCCACTTACCAAAGGGCCTTGTCAAGACCTCGGCCCGATCAGCTCTCCTCTTTTGTCTGAAGGCATAGAAACCGATCAGAAGAACAATGACGAATACGGCAACACCACCAGCAATGATTCCAATCAACGCTCCAAGGCCGAGAGAACTCTTGGAGGTCAAACCTGTCATAGCAGCACAAGGACTTATGTTAGAGGATCCTAGGAGGGTTGCTGTGAGGTGGTGGGACGAAACTTAGCAATTCACAATGCAGTTCTGCATTCTGAGAAATTCCAGTCAGAAGCAGCACGTACCCATTCTTGGTTGCTGGAAACGAATCATATTGTAAGGTCCTTGACGGGGAGGAAGATGTACAGAATTATTGAATAGGAAGGTAGTAATGAATTGGACTTCGACTGCAGTCCAATCCCTTCCGTTGGGAGGGAAAATGCCCACAGTAAAAGTGATACGGTTGTTCTCGGTTATATTGGCACGTTCGATATAAAGCTGCTGTGGATCCAATGTAGTTTGACCCGGGGTAGGAACAAGCTTTTCCTTGACTCTCTTGTCCTCGGAGAAAAGGTCCGCCAGATCTGCTTCGAGAGCGTCGATGTGGTCCTCATCTAAAACCTGGAAAGGAGGAGAATTGAGAATCATGTCGCAAACCAGAGCGTTCCCACAGCTGCAGGTCGAGCCATCCAGATACTGTCCGGCGGTGGTGCAAGTTTTACCATCGCAGACAGGTGACTGCGGCCAATACATCGAAGTTCCGGGATCAGCAACGCAAAATTGTTCGGCTGTGACCAAAGACTCCGTACAGAGTGGGTTTCCCTTCAGCCTGCAGCCACAATCAACAAATGAGAATCCACCAACATTGTCATACACACTCTTGTCATAAACCAAGCAGTAAAATTTCAGAACCACGGGCATCTGAAAGAACCTTACAGGAGCTGATCAAAATTGCTGTTTACTCCGTTCCTCTTCGGTGTTCCGGCTATGGCGTCAATCTCGTTGCCCTCCAAGTCGACAATTTGCAGCAAGGGCCCAACATTTCCGAAAGTCAAAGTTCCATTAAGACCGTTGTTGCCCAGGTCTCTGGAAGGATTCGCACATCCATCGGTGTTAGAAAGTACAGATAATATATATGTACACCAGACTCAGAAGGCGCTAGCGAAAAAACTCAGAACTTACATCTTCTCCAAGTTGGGCAGGTTAAAGATTGCCGAAGGTATCGGTCCTACCAAGTTGGAACTTCTCATGTATCTGCAGTCAGGTGGAATGTTGTTAGTTGGCCGTGATTGAAAAGGTACATATTCAGGAGTGAACTGCGCGTGCTTTATCTTGCTCTTCTGTAGAAGTGAAAGCAACATACTACACGCCTATCAATTGGGCACGAGAGAACTTACAGGGTCTGAAGTGCGTTCATTCCCACCCCACCAGATGTGAAAAAGGCTGGTATCAGTTGCGGATCGAATTGGTTGTTGGTGGTGTCCCTGTTTTCCGGGAAATACAATTCACCGTCAGGTCTTCTACTGATCAAGAATACGGATGGCAATTATCATCTTCAAGGTCATGGCTTCATCGACATTGGAGAAGATCTTGAATCTTCTCCAATGTCGATGAAGATTCAAGATCGGTCCAGATACTTACAAAAGTCTGAGATCTTTACATGCGCTCAGATCAGGAATGATCCCCGTGAGCGCATTGTTGCTTACGTGACTGCACAGAATGCACACATACTTCAGCTTCGCATTCAGGCCTTTCGAGACAAAACTTCAGAGTATCCGATAAGCAATAATTGTGCAGTTGCAAGTCTAAATTGAAACTTACATTTCAGTGAGGCTCTTAATTGTGCCAAATTCTTCTGGAATTGGCCCGATCAACTTATTGTTATCTAACCTCCTGCAATGGGAAAGCATCCGGAACCGCGAATCAAAATCAGATTAAATTTGATCATGACTTCGAACAGACTGAAACTAGAGAATGACTGTGTCCAAGCTAGAAACGAGCCGAGAGAGGTGTCTTACATGATCTGAATCGGTGCAATTGAGACGTTGGTGGGAATCGTGCCAAAAAGTTGATTGCTGTCCAACAACCTGCATTGGCAAGAAATACACAGAACAATTGAGTGGGAAGTCTTGAATAAAAGCCACAACTAAATTAATAATCGAAGGTAGAATAAGGCATGGATTGTGCCCACTTACAGGTGAATGAGGTTAGGCAAGTTGAAGATCTCCTGCGGAATATTCCCGTTCAGCGAGTTGTTGTTGAAGTGGCTGCCAAGAAAGAATTCAGCTTCTTAGGCTGCTGACATCGTCTAGTCTTCTAAATTCAGTAATAGCTTACATGCATCCGGCAAAAAGATGGACGTGGCTACTTACAAATGCTTAATACTGGTCATGGTGTCTAGGCCAAGTGAATCGTTATTAGCCGTAGACACTGGCAGTGCCTGACTGAACCCATTCACGGAAATATCAAACCAGTACAACTTTGTCAGCTTCCCCAGCTGGTGTGGAAGAGCCCCCAGCATTTTGTTGGAGTTCAAGGCTCTGAAACAGACGATGACGGCGACTCAGTTTAATGCATGCCGATTGATCAGGCATGCTCTATGGCTGAGAAGATGACGTGCTTGACGTCAAGCACAACTGTAATCTCACATCCGGCCAATAGGATAAACTTACAGAAACTCCAGTTTCGACAAGTTCGACAGCTCCACCGGTATTGGGCCCGTGATTCCACATTGCTGTATGCTCCTGATAATCAGAGTAAGGAAACCCCATTACATACACAGACACGGTGGGTACCCAAACGTGACTAAAGTTATGAATAGATTAATGCAGATAGCATTTCTAAGGTCGATTCCTTGAAATGAGCCAAGCCACAACCATTTTGGACCGGTGACACTTTAATACTTACAGAGACTTCAGGTTCAGCAGCTTTCCCAATTCCTTGGGCAGATTGCCAGTGAGAAGCGGATTGATCGACAACTCCCTGATCACGCAAGAGGTCAAAGGTACGAATTTCGATTAGTAATTATACACACTTAGTTGGAGTGATTTATTATGGGGTAGCAAAGGAGATGAAACAATTTATCTGAGTAGTGGAGTGAGAATCTGGACATTCAGCAGTTCTGAAAGTTTTCACTTGGGCAGTTCAGAGCATATTCACAATCGGAGCCGGTAGCTGAGATTAGAAGAAACTTACAGAGACTCCAGACTTGGAAAATTCCCGATTTCCGGCGGTATGACTCCTGAAATATTCTGACTCGCCAGATTCCTGGTACACACCATCGATCATTCACGATTCAGTGTGCAGCACGTGCTACGGCGACTCCCACAGAATACAAATTCACGTTGCATGAAAGTTTGTTCACGGGTCATCTCAACCAACTGATGTCGTCATACATCACCGACTCTTGCATCATGAAGTCTCAGGAGAAGGAATAATCTGTATTGCTACGACTACTGGATGCCTTACAGTTGGGTGACCCGTCCGGAGATTTCGTCGCAGAGGACTCCTACATAACTGTCGCACCCGTCATCCCCAATCCAGGGGCTCGAGACACTCACTTGATTCCATGCGTCTGACAAAGCATTCAGCGCAGCTTCTGCAAGGGGCGCATGAGTACAAAACGCGAGTCAAAATAACCGCAGCTACAACAAACTCTCGCATCCTAGACTTGCTCCATGCATGGCTGCCTTCTTTGCAGTCTTCAACACTTCCAGATTAAAGGCGTCCTTCGGTTTCGTGAGCACTAGAAATAGCCACAAGGGAATCTGTTCTATTCACATGGTATCGGAAGGTCTGGAGGCGCTGGAAGAAGAAGAGTGCGTCGACCATCACAAGCACGAGCATTGCTCGTGTGTCTCAACCCGACTGTGACAGGGTTAGAGGTGCTCGTCTTTTCTCGCTTGCTCTCAGACAATGGTTAGCGAGCCTATTTTATCGAGACTCGGTGGCATGATCACGCACGCTTCTTCAGACCGACCGTCTCATATACGTCTCAAGTACGTATGTACGTCTAATGTAGCGTGCGGTGCACTCGTGACTGGAAATGCAACTGACGAAGATGTGGACAACCTGAGTTTGTAAAGAACTTCGACCCAACTGGAGCAATTCTTTCCTAGCCTTAATAAAATCACCAAATCCATTCCACGGGTTTGTAAGACATGAGCTAACATTGCAACTCTTCAATGAGAGGGAGAGAGAACATTACGGTCATCGGGGTGGGTGTGCGCAGCTGTGTGCTGCAGAAAGCATCCACTCCAGAAGACCAAGAATGCAGCCACAACGAGCATCCCATCATTACGAATGATTGTCATACTACGCCACCTTTCCAGCTTCCTAGACCTCCTCGGTCTCACGAGCATATCTAGCCCTCCCTCGCCTGCCCTTCTACCCAAATGCGGCAGTCCTCCCTAGACCAGCTCTCCCCCTAATGAGCTTTTCCTCCCTCCCAACCTCCCTCACCTGTCTGCTTCCCAAAACCTTCAAATCTCCACCGCCTTGCGCTATGAACCTCCAAAACCAGAGTAATCTTAATCCACACCTACGACTCCCTGCCTGTACTTCTGAGCTCGAGCACTACTACTCCAGCTCCGCAAGCAAATTCAACCACTCAGCCCCCTGCTCCAGCTTCCAGCTTCCAGCTTCAATCCGACCGAGGAGGCGTCTCCCGCTTCTGCAAACCGAGCTGGAACTCCCTACCAGACCATCATCGTCTGTCATACGATGATTTGAGGCACTGGAACGCCTCGTACGACGGTGCAGTGCCGCTCCCCATCAAATGTCTAACCTCTCGGACCCGAAAGCGAAATGCTACAATGGTGTCCTCCCTCGGTCGGACCTATGGAACGATGCAGTGCTGCTCGCCACCGAGCGCCCAACACACTCGGACCCGGAAGCCGAAGGAGATAAATGCCTCCTCCCGACGTACCTGACGACAGACCAATGGAGAGCGGTGTCGTCGAAAGTCGCTCCAGTGTAGAGGATTTGTAATCGAGGACGCACTCTCCGGCCCCCGCCTCTCACACACCAGCGCAGCACGCAGCAGCCTCCCCGACCCCCGAGCTAGCGAACCAGCGTGCTTCGTGACTGATGAAATCAATGCCTTTGGACTCGAGCTCTAAAGGTCCGATAGACCGGGCGGCAGCCAGCCAGCCAGCAAGCCAGCCAGTCAACCAGTCAGCCGGCGCCGGTGATCTGCGACCGGGGCTCCGTCACAGTCCCGACACGGTGCGCCTCGCCCCATTCGACCCCCCAGGAATGCGGCTCCGCTACAGGCCCTCAGCAGCAGCCGCAGCTCTCGTCGCACTTCACTTCCTGCGCCGTCGTGTCTGCATCCATCGTCGCGCGACGCTTGCCTCGTCCGCATCCCCACGGGCTGAGCACAGCATTATTTCCAGCATTACTGGCCCCTGGTCCCTCGGTGCTTGGAATCTTGGACCTGGTGGGACGCCCGGCCCCCGGCTGCATAATTGTTCTACTCCAGCGATGTCCGCTTGGATTATCCCCCGCTTTTCCGCCTGTCTCCATTATAGTTCGCTTCTCCCATTCCTGTCCGCATTGATTGGCATGGCATGACGACCCTGCTGCTGCTTCAACACTTGGCAGCGCGCAGGGAAGAGTAGAGTGGTTCCAGTGATCATTAGCTGGGCTCGTCGTTGTAATGCTCGCCCTGTTGGATTCCAACAGCGGCAGGTGCATCGGTATTAGCGACCGGTTTATTCAAGGTCCTTGGGGCTTAGACGAAAGGAGGGAGTTTGGGAGAGACAGTAGCGGGGCACTCTTGATCTGGAAATATTTGTTCTTGGAATTTAGTAGTTTTCTGAAGGCAATTCTTTCTGATCATTTCAAGATCGAGAAGTGGACGTAGACTGTTGGGACCATTGAGCTTCTTCTGTTCAGTTCGATTCTGACCCTTTCAGCGTCGACAGCTAGCTGCCTGGCCAGCGAGCTGCTGTGAAGGTGGCGGTCCCTTTCCGCTGTCTTGCTCATGGTCATCTCATCATCTGTGCTGTCCATGGTGCCAGAAGTGTGAGTTCGTTTGTCAATGAGGTACAGAATTGAATTTAGCACAGGGAGAGTAGGGGAGAGAAGTTGGAAACCGCGCTGAGCGCCTCTTCACTCTGTTTCGAGCATGAGCTGACTGTTGACCTCGAGCTCTTGAAACAGACAAGGCCTCCTACTGTTCGTTGGTTGGGCATTTAGTACCTTGTACCTTGAGTACTTTTCCGAGGCGATCAGCCACTGCTCGTCGGGTCCACTTCGGGGACGACTTCTGTCTCGCATGGCGATGGACCGGGGGTCAAAAGTGCACTATTGGACATGGATTAAGCTCCGAGGCCTGGAAAAGTGCAGCATGAAGCCAGAGCGCAAGCTTCCGAGCTCCCACGCGCTTAGCCAGTTGCTAAACTAGCGAGCCGAGACTTGTCAGCCTGACTTCGGGCAGAGTCCAAGTCTTAGCGCCCGAGCCAATCGTCGTTCTGTGCAAGAATGATCCTCACACGCTGCAGTCGCTGCATTCGTGCTCCACAGCTCAACTTTGTCGTGACATGATGCTCTGGTTTCCATCTCGTGAGCCGTCTGATCTGGTGCCGAAGGTTGGAGGTGAAAATCAGAGGAAGGTCATGGAAAACCTTCGGTTTACCTGTTCCCCACCCCTTCGGTGTCCTTCCTGTACGATTTGATGAAGTCGTGCCATCCATCCATTGCTAGTTTACTCGGTTTCCCAGCCGATGCCTGTTCCAGTCTTCAACATTTCACCAACTTACGCAGGAGTTCAAGTTCTTCTTGTTTTCAAGTCAAGCAGGGCAAACAATGAAACTAACTGTTCAGTCCGGCTCAAGGCGTCCATTACTCCTTGTGTCATGATCTTGGGCGTGCCATGAAATTGGACGAATACCTGTTAGAAGATTGAACGGGTACAGCATAGAGCAAAATGTTTCCAATTTCTAACCGTATAACACCATAAAAGGATTGGCCGGTGGAGAATCTTCATCAATTTATGTGATACACTGGCTTGTGAATATAGCTTCTTCCTAAAGCACACGAAGACATATACTACCAGGCTGTTATGGGGGTCGGTTTTCTGTGCTCATCATCAGCATTGAGAGTTTTCTTATCATCATGATCCATCAGATGGAGTCACCGTGATGAACGATAGTCATAGAAACATTCAAGAAATTGAGTACACATATATCTCTACGGTACAGAGTATCTAAGTTATGTATTGACTAAAGTAGTAGTTCACACGCTTAATGAAAGTCGCAATCGAATGCGTCATCATATTTTCAAAGTGGATCAGTGAAGGATAGATTCTCAAAACCAAAAAACCAATAGACGAAATTACTTGCCCACCACAATTATGAACATGTAGAATTTTTCTTGCATGCGAATCTTATTCTTCCTCGATCCATCTGTAGAAACCATGGAATTCTGCTCTTTGCTCAAGAACTCAAGAATTGAGTTTCTCAGATTCTTCTCCCCATTGATCCTTTTGACGAGTGATAACTTAGAAGAGACAGCAGACAAGGACGGCCTCTACAAGTTCCATCCAGTTGTTTGATGTCACCTTGCCCTTCATTTTCTCTTTCTATATCTTTTCCTCGCTCTATCCAAACAAGTCGATTACCAAATATATACAACAAGTAAATAATCATACTTAACTAGGGGATCATGTATATTTCCTTCTCGTAACAGCTTAGAATCTTCCATATGGTGGTGACATCTCATGTCATAGATGACGGTGGACTCAATCTATGTCGATAAATAAAATATAGTTGGTCGAATCTGGAGTGATGAGTGTGATGAGAAGTATGTGCGCAAGATGGCGAGGGCAATAAAGTGTTCAGGGCATCGCTCGTTGAGTAAACAGCTCAACCTATCTAACTGGAACCCACAATGGATAAAGACACAGGAAGGAATGAATCACTATCAAATAAAGTTGTAATTAACGAATTCATTATTTTTCGCATTACTTTTCACAAATGCTTAGTATAGCACTGCAGGGTAATTCTATGTGAAAAGCGACAATTATGTTCAAGTTCTAATACATCACGATTTGATACCTGATAGTACACTATGGATTTCAGGTTGCCAAAAACGGATTCATTCATTTACTCTAAATAAATGAAAATTTCATAAGTTCAAAATTCACTCTTTCATTTCAAATCATCACAATCACACGTAAATCACTCAATTGCAGTATTTATAATTTTTCTCGTAGCTCTCATCTTAAGCTTTTTTTCATTCCTCAAAATCCGGACAGGAGAATTTCAAAAGACTTATAAAAATGATATACATCTCAAGATATGCCTCTTCAATGCGATCATCGATCCAATATATATAAAATATGAATAGTTGCTATTAAAGTATATCTTGGATGCAGTATAATATGCTATTGGGGCTAGCCCCATCATACCCTCTTGGATCTTCCAACCTTTGTGTCAATTGCCTGGTTTCCCATGTCACTCCAGGAAAGCAGCAGGTACACTAAAAAAGGTTGGCAGCTGTGAGCAGAGCTCTCCACGTTCCTCGAATCTTGCCATCGATGGAAAGTGATCCTACAGCTACTGCCGCTATGGGCGAATTCGCCAAGAAGCTTAGGCATTTGCAGGAACGGAGGGGATACAGCAATATGAAGGGCTACGAAGGATAAAGGAGACCACAAGGGGAATGTCAAGTGGACCTCTATATGAATCTGCCGTTTGAGTCTACAGCATAAAGTGGGAGACCTACTCCCAGCACACACGAAAAGGCACACAAACTCCAGCTCTTTTTTCAACACTGACCGACAAGTGAGTGTGGAAAAGAGCACATTGAACGCCTCTACGGCCTGATCAGGCCATTCGCTAACTTCTTGAACCTTGTTTGAAGGCCTTCAGGTCCACTATGAATCCACATCCTGTAGCCCTGTCTGATCTAAGAGTCTATTCTCAACTACTACAAAGGAAGTCGACTTCTCCGGATACAGTATATTTTATCCAGCCAGCAGCAGGACATGCCATCACTTGTAACGTAACGTCCCGAATTCTCTCGGTCCTGAGCCCTGATCTGCAGTACAACGCCACTTTATCGATCTTCATATGCTCTTCTTCCCAAGGCTTGTCCCATTAGCAAAGGACCTGGGGCGGGAAACCAGATGGACGCCGAGCCCTTGCCCTTGCCCTTTCCCCGCCCTCCTGTTCAGCTGCGGATATCAGCCTTTCTCATTTGCGTTCTTTCTCAGTTACAGCTCAAATCTGACATACCTGTGGCTGTAGAGTATTAGAAGGTGATTAGAAACCCTTTTTGGCACCTCTTCTGAAATGAATGAGTCGCACTTCTCCTCCGTTATGTCTTCTGACTTCGTCCTTGTTGAGCATTAACTTTCGGTCTGCACACTGGAAAAGTACAACGTACCGTCTACTGACGCGTCCAGCCATGGACGATACTACAGGCTTGAACTGTACATGACAACTTTCTACATCTTCGTCAACATTTTCAACGAACGGACTATGAACTATAGTACCATATTATGAGTAGTTCAAGAGAGAGATTTGGACCACCAGACTTGAGAGAGGGAAAGAGAGAAAAAAAAACAGTTCTTCCACAAGAGGATTGGAAATAAAACGAATTATTTATTTCCCGTTTCCATACACTTCTAACTTTGTTTGAGTTGGAGTCCACTTCATTTGGTCTGTTCAGGATGACGGTGGAAACATTATAGCGTTAAAGGCAATTTTCACATTGAAGCGGATCATAACAGGACTAATTATAAAAAACTGTGCCTTTGGTAGATGACCTCTCTCATCTTCCCGATGACTTATATTATTTGGTTGAAACACTCTGAAGCATCGATATCGAATAAACGACTCACTAGTGGACTAGTGGACCAGTAGACCAGTGGAGAATAACTTGGACTGCTAATTGGCAGTAGGACCTGGTCGCACCCCAAACCGTCTCCCACGCCAGAATCTCCACCGCTACTAGTTGCTTCCCCACTGTTTCATTCGTATCTCACGGCTGCGGTCCTAACGCCCTTCTATTTTCATGTATTTTGCCGAGCAGCGAGCAGACTGGACCGCGGAAATCTTAAATAGACGAGACGGAACAAAACAAGGAGAAGAAATACATTAAATAGAAACTGAGGCGAAAATAAATGGCATCAGAATAAGAAGCTTTAAATTAAAAAAGGTGGCAAAACACATCCATCGACTTTTTCTTGACTCACATGAATACGTGCGCCGAAAAGCACTAGACCTAGCTCTGACTCAACGCACAGTTCCGCAGTCGCTTGCTCTCTCTGTTGCTGCCGTTTAGAAGCTTCAAATGCAACTGCGTTGAGCAGTCATAATCTGGAAAAGTGCATGTTCCATGCCATTGTCTGCCGTGGATAGTTGGAGATTCCACATTAGCCAAGTCCTTGTCCACGTGAATCGGGAAACAGATTAGCGCACCGGCGGAACACGTTGACTTCTTACGCCTAGCATAGTGGCCATGACACAGAACCAGATGAAGATTTCTTACTGTAATGTACACTCACCCGTGGACCAATTCTCCAAAAACTTGTCAGAAGCCATTCATTCTCGTGACTTTTGCAACACTTGTGCTTCCACACTCACAATTTGTCCTGGATTTTTTACAATGTGGAGATACTACTGGATCCAATTCACAGCAGGAATGCACCACCACCTCCTATCATCCGACCGGCCGTCGTTGGATCTCCCGGAAGCAATCTCCACATATCTTCTCTCGATATTGGGCCAGCTTTAGGCCTTCAAAGGAATCGACAACAGCTCGTAAAGTGAACCATAACACTCAGGTCTGGCAATTAATATTGTAATGGATATTCAATCATTACGTACAAGGCAGCGTCCTCGACCGGCCGAGGGGAACAACGAGGCTCGCCAGTTCATACCAGACGGGAAATTCCCCGCTCCGTGGCCAACAGGGCCGGCAGCAGGTGCCCGCCACGAAAGAACGGCGAACCAGTCACCCGGTAGAAACTACCCGGTAACGAGACCTGGGCAAAACCTGGGACCGGTGATGCAAACCCACGAACCCAAGGGTCTCCCTCGTGTCTGAGAATTTCGCTTCCTCCTTCGGAATTTACTCGTTCGACCTGTCGCGTCCGTGATTCCGGGTATCGATCCTATCTCCGTATGGGCTCATATCCTGCAACGACTCAGTTGATCTCATGTTGCGCCCGTCAACGATATGACTCTTTCTTCGATGGATTCCTCCTCCGAAGACTGTGTTTTTTCAAAGCAGTCAATTTGAGATCGATGTCACTCGACTCTCGGAAGGGCTATGCGGGAGAAAAATGTTGAATTCGTGATTTGAGACAGTCTACCTTTGAGAGAATAACAAACGATGAAAGTGGACCTGCGTGAGCTCGAAAGTTCGCTCGAAAGGTCAACACGTTCTGACAGTTTATGACCACACGGTAGAATATGGTACAGTAAAGTAAAGCAAAAGAGAGGCAAAGAACCATTCTCTCGATTCAAATCAGCTCAGAAATTTGTCACTTTTCTCTGTTCAAGTGGATTTTCTGCAAGTACTGCTTCTTTCCCTAACATTGGACTAAGATTTCTCACGTCACATATATTGTGTTTCTACTCTGGCCTTGTCTCGAAGTACTCTTTAACAAGTATTTCTCAAGTTGGAACGGAAGGGAGTTTCTTATTTTTGTTTTCCAGATGATCATGTGCAAAATGATCCATATATAACGGTTATTCCATGTATAACAGAATCCTACGCAGGGCGATTGGATATGTCAAGGTGAAACCGGTCCCAGAGTCATGAATCGAGATTGAAACTTCAATTTATTGTAAATGTGTGTTCATAAGATATATTTCCAGCTCTGAATAAGCGCAGCAAGGGGAGGGAGAAAAAGACAATTAACCAAAGCCAGTAGGGAGAATCCTCACTTTAGATGAATTGAGGGGCCAAAGTGATAACAGGAAACCCTTAAAAATTCCCATATAGCATTGAATGGAATGATTAGAGCCACCTACACCCATTTAGATCATTTGAGCCACCAAAGACGAACACTGTAAGGGTCAAAGAGGGTGAAAAAGGAAGCCAAATAATATAGTGAAGCAAGCGCAGGTCGAGAATCAAGAGCCACCGTATGAGTACTAACGAGATATAGGGTCTTTGCTAAAGTTGCTAAGCTCATAATTGGGTGGACAGTGAGACTCAGAGGAGGAAGAAAAGTAATGGTTGCGATAGAGAGGATGACTTCAAGGAAGTCAAAAAGGATAAATGATGTGAGCTTTAGGTCTTGTGAGAGATAGATTCAGAATCTGTTGAACTGTCATCACTGCTGGGTTTGGACACAAAGATTAAAAAAATTCGCGGGCTTGGTATATTTCCATTCAAACCGATCTCACATGCCCCAAAAAAACTTCTACCGAGTACCTGTATGGGTCCAAAAACACTTTAGGTGAATATAGGGGGTAGTTGTTCAATCTAGCTTTTAATGATTTACCAAAAGATACAGCTGTAGAAATGGCCACCCCCACCCTTTCCAATTCTCTTTAGAATGTTCTCGAGTATATCAATCAGTTATGTATGAGATGAGTGGAAAAATACTCACGAGAAAGTCAGGCTGCCAGTGAATTTTACGCAGTAACTTCTGTTCTCTAGTAGCCCATCAAACCCTAATATGGGACTGGGACTACCATGTAAGATTAGCGATATAAAAACACTTTTATATTTAACAATCACAAGCACATAAGTTGTTCCATAACCTTCGGACACTCTCTATGCGGTATCCCTCAAAGAGATACCGCAGTATGCCTGTGAGGTAGCACTGCCCGAGCATACGAACTTGCATGATGACATTCGTCAACGAAGAGGACTGCTCTCATATTCATATTGGGTTGCACTTCTGTCTCATGAACCTAAGGTTCTTCGGAGTGAAAGAAATCCAGTACTGTATACAGTTCTGGACTTTTCGATCCATGAGTAGCACAGCAGAGAATGGGGTGAGTTCAGTCCTTTGGGATTGATTCGTTTGACGTGTGATTACGTTCAGACAGAATGCACTAAAAAGGGTTCCAACTCGAGTGCAATACTCCAACTGGCCCTGGAGAAATGATTAAGTGACAATACATTGCCGGTTAGGAAATTAAGACCATGATTATGAGACCTTACTATCTTGCATCTTCGCTACTGTAATTTTACAATGGCTGCATGGTCTACGCTATGCAAGCAACCACGACAAACGATTTCTAATCAAGGGTAGCCAATCAGAACGACGCGCAGCTTTCAGGCCGCACTGTCAAGCAAATCCTCCGTTCCTACTCATGTGTTGTGTTGTGTTGTCGTAGTTCGTACACGAAGTTAAGGAGCCCTTGTGACTCCAGATGGCAAACTGCGGTGCCTTGTGCTCTTATACAGGGTACGCGCAATCTCGGAGTTATGAATGTGTACGGGCACAAAACCGCGACTGCCGGGGCTCCGTTCTATACCCTAATGGATGTGCTGTAGGCAGTGCAATTAATGTGGGTGGAATGCAGCCAAAACATGTCACACTAAACATGACCCCGATGCCTGGGGGTGTCTGGTACTTTTGTACCTCATTAGATCATATCCCGGAGATTTCATCATTTGTATTTTATTTCATCCCGAGACACAGATTCAGCCATGTGCCAATACTGAGCAGCAGGTCCGCAGGCTCATTACGCCAGTATGCTACATTTGATCTGAATCCACACAAAGTTCGCTTCACGTAGAAACCCCAGGCTCAGGTACATCTACCGCCGCTCACAATCAGGACTCGGGTCGTGAACAGGTTCGCTGGCTCGGTGGACGTGAATTTCATGAGCATTTGGGCAGTGAAGGCTTGAGGAATGAGAACTGTGAACGTAATCATATATTGCTGATCTGATCAGCATCGGTTGCGCTGAGATTCAGAAGAGACACTGATCGTAGACGACGTCCCGATAATGTCCCAAAGGGTGACACTGCACCAGTCGAACCCGCATAAGCTGCCAGGATCTGGAGTGCGGCACAACAGACGACGACCGTGTAGATTCTTACACGTATTGGTGAGCAAGAATATTACCACAAGATGCCAGCACAACTGTTGTTGCGTCGCAGCAGTCTCCCACAACCTTGCGAGTTACGAAACTGTAGAACTCGGAAGCCACATCGCATCGCACTCATCAAGCCGTCTATTGCTGGCTCCAACTGCATTTCCAAGCTACAACTGATGATATGTACATGCAGCAGCTCCCGCTGGAGTGGTGTTCACGACCACATGGTCTCTGAAATTCTGACAAACTACAGGAAACTTCACCGAGTCACATTTCATGTCATGCAGGCAGGATTCAGGAGCATTGAATAGGCATCTCGTGCCTCTTCGTCCTTCTTCCACCTTGCGAACCAAATGTGCGAACTCCAACAAGAGCTCGCACTGTCCTTCTAGACACAGTTTTGGTCTTCGTCGCAGTGTTCGATAACCTGGCTTATACAATTTCCTCTACCCTTATTCTCCCTCTCGGTTACGTACAGCTACTCTCCACATCAGCGATGAAAATTGCATGTCGACTGAGCTCAACTCGAACCAAGTCATGTATTCACACAATGGCTCGTCAATATTCTTACGTAGTTTCTGGAAATTACAGAGTATTAAATGAAAACCGATGTCGATGCATATGTTGCTCATGCACGTGAAGCTGCAGGAGCTGAGAAGGTTAATGTGAGGGAAACTCTGTTAACAGGGCTCGTAACCCACACTTTAAGTTCGATGTGTAAATTCTTATGCCGTCAGCGATGGAGCGTGGATGAGAAGCACATGTGAAAAGCATATGATCGAGGGGGTGAGTGAGCAAGGGAGACAGATTCATCTGGTCGGAATCACTCGGATCTCCGACGGAGAATCTCCCTCGGGGACGAAGCACTAATTGCGGAAGCAGCAGGATTGGCGCGAACCGTGAGGCTTCGTGACAGAGGCTTGGCAGCAGAGGGCTCATGCAACAACGAAAAGGTAAACCTGTGTCTGACTCTGCTCGACTCCTGCCACGAATGAACCATGATCTGGCCGGTCGCTGACCGACTGACCGACTGACGGGGTCAGTCGGTCGGTCCGTCCCTCGGTCCGAGGCTCCCCACTCGTTCAGACCTCGAAATCTTTTACAGATCCCCTGTGACGTCTTTCCTCCCGCACCTTACTTCTCCGCTTGCCACGTGTCTTCGTCATGTATCTCCCCGTGATCTGACTGTAACGTCCCTTACTCCCTGCCCTGTCCTAACCTAAGGGCGCAGGCTTTACAAGTCGCACGCGACGATGGGCGGACGACGCGGCGAGTGGGGCAGACGGGCTCAGAAGGGCTCGGGGTAGCTTATTGGGCTGCCTGCGCCACGTTAATGGCTGGAAAAGAACCGGTCGTAGCCTGAACCCGCCCTTCTCCTCGGACCGTTCCGTGAATCACATCGCGCTGCCGAGAACCGGCTGGGTAAGGGTGGTAAACCGGTCGACCGGGAACGAACATGACCAGGTGGCCTCAGAAGCAGGAAATATCCGCGTTATCCCAGTCAGCTTAGCAGCTCAATTTAGGCACGACACGATGCGAAGCGAAGCTCTTTGCGAAGATGGCTCCACCCATGACCACATCCATGTTAACCGAACGGGTATCTCATTACAGCACACAGTGTGCCCTCCTATCTGATTGTTATCTCAGTGCAGGGTACATCATTTTCGCAAAACTGTATTGAGAATCTTTTCTTCAGGTGGTTTAAGGTTGAACTTCTCGTACGTAAGTAACCCATTGAATTTGTTTGATTCCAATTGAGATGTTGAGGGCTGTAACTGAGAGG